TCCGCCACGTCTACTGGCCCGCCCGATCTACCTTTTCCCAGCCTGTGGCTATGGTTATCACATTCCTGGTCAGCTCCATCTTTCACGAGCTAGTCATGAGCTGCATCACAAAGAAGCTTCGGGGATACGGTTTCCTGGCTATGATGCTTCAACTGCCTATTGTTGCGATTCAAAAGTCTCGCTTTTTCCGTGGCCGGACAATTCTTAATGTAGGCTGTTATTGTTTGCTTTGATATTTTGCGGCTCTCACTGACTTCCTTTCTAGAATGCCTTCTTCTGGTTCTCAATGATCTTGGGCTTGTCTATGGTAAGCTCTACGTCTTCACTCTGAGATATGTAACGTCACAGTTATCTGACTCTAACAATGATTGCTCCTTAGATGTGTGCATTCTACGTCCTAGTTTAAGACAGACAACTGGTGCGTATGCGATTAGACATGGCGAGCTGTGAAGGGATACAATTGGCCATGGAGGGCATGGAACCCTGACGGCTTGCTCTTAATATTTGATACCATTACTAGGTGTCTCCCACTCTTGTACATAGCTTCGGTTATTGTTATATCCGCAGTGTGCTTTGATATTGATATTAACTGTAATGAAGTTACCACCTGGGCACTTGTTTGTACCACCAATCAGCCGTTTATGTGGCCTTTGTCCTTTACGAAGTAGGACATGAATAACCCTGCAATTCATTTGGACTGATAGATAATTGGACGTTGTTTGGTAGCTACTCTTTCAATCTGTTATGCATTGGACAAGTGAATATATCGATTTAAATTGGGGCCTCAAATATGCGATATGAAGCCGATGTTACCCATACATGTAGGAGGAGATTTGTCACATGAGGAAAGGTCACTGAAGGCGAACCAGTCTACAGTGAAGATTTTAGTGGAAGCAACTTTATTCACTGATACGCTTGATATAGTCGATTTGCCCAAATTCTGACATCGGAGGAACTTTGGGTTGTTGATAATTAGACTCAGATGTAGCCCACACCCGTGGACGGCTCGGATTCCGGCAGTCAGCTCAACAGAGCAGAGTGTGGACGGCAATGTTAAAAGAATGGATATGTTGTCGCATTGTACGACGAAGAAACAACATAGCCTGAAACAGAGAAGTTAGTTTTCAGTGTGCAACCAAGTGACGACGTAGCCCGGCATATATGATATATCTTTAGTAGGGTCAGAGTTAATCATGAGGCTGCGTACAATTATGTAGTCCAATATGCTGAATTTCGCTTCCGCTCGATGCCTGGCAAAGCTTTAAACTCCGGAGAGCCTGATGATTGGCTTGTGTTCTTGCTAACAAATACTAATTGAAGTTTTAGAAGATAGCACTCCACGTGCTAGAGCACGGTAAAAACATAGTCGTACTCTTTGCATGGCGTATCGAACATCGTGTAAGAGGCCCCCGAGGGAAGCTGGTCGAGGCTCTTAATCAGATTGTGAACACTCCACTCTTTTATAGTGCATACACATGTCATGATAAGGATAATATCATAGAGTAGCCTCCGGCAGGGCCTTCACATCCCTCGTCGCCGGCCAGTGACGTGGAATTTAGTAGTTGTAATATTTTGAAACACCCTATTGGAATCTGATACAATGAAACGGAGAGCCACCGTGTACGACAGTAAATGTTTTCCCCAGGTGAATGCCGGTGCTCACTTCAGCTATGAACAGAGGTTGTTGCTGTCCGCAACTAGCACATTTTCTTCTTGTGGAAGCAGTTTCTGATAAGGCCTGTATCCAGTTGTGCCTATGTGGTAACTTGTTTTGCTCGGACGATATGATCCTGACGGCCCACATGATCTTGCTTTCGTTCCAGTGGAATCTTCGATTTTTCTGCAGGTGTTATTGAACTGCTTAGGGACGAATTCCACCAAATGCTATGAGTGCTTATCAGGTAGCGGTAGTATCAAACATTTCAGCACTGCAAGCATGTTGGAGTCCCGCTGCGAGGGCAGTGTCATAAGAAAAGATAACCAGCCCTAAAGGTTGGCAGCAAACTCACAAATGACTAGAGATGTGGCAATTGTGACGAGCCAACCCTTGAAGACCATATTTAGTATGTGGTTGTTGAACGCGGCAAATCACAACAATCCAGACCAATCAAGCCCTTGATTTTTCACAAATTATACATACCAGAAAGGCGAGGAGGAGCCCTCGAGAGAGGATCCGAATCATTGTTTTCCCTAGATCGTGCCTTCCCCAGGTCATGTGCCTTCCTCGGCGGGGTCAGGTGATGAGATGTAAACATTCCAAGGTTTGATTTGACTTCAATATACTTTTTTCCCGAGGTCCCTCTTTCCTCGTTCCCTTCTCTAACTATAAGCTCCGCTCCCCCTCCCTTTGTTTTGCCCTCACTGTGCTTTACGGAGAATGTATGCGTTAGATGAAGCCCCTCACAAAAGTGTACATCGGTACTAGCGAGAAAGACAGGCCGAAAACGTGTGGGGCTTGTGCCTTCCCTCCGACATATGCTGTGCCCACGGAATATATTGTATCTTTCGTGAGATCGCTACCTGTGATATCTCCCTGCCTCTAAGAGATCTGCCAAAGATACTTGGCCACATCAAGGGACTGCCTGTATTTGACACAGAGAAACATTTTTGTGGTTAGTACTTCATTTCAAGGTGGAGAGTCTCATCGACGGTACTCCATAGTACAACCGAGATTGCGGGGGATCTACTACCCGTAGAACCCACAGTGGCGCATTATCGTGGCGTATGTCCGTGCGCAACCAGTCTGTCAAATGGACCACGGGTCTATCCTCTTAGAAACCCGAAGGTGAGATATGCCAGTACATATGCCCTCACATATAGATTGGAACAACGAAGGACCATAGCCCAAGACAATCCATGGGACTAGTTCTGGTGGGTCAACATATATGGGCTTTATACTCTTCTCTGACTCCGACAAGCTAAAGGTAAATCATGTACTCTCCTATGTGCATCCTTAGTAGCGCTACAATGTTAGGTTGTGCCCATATCATCTCATGAGGTTTTCAATGACACATTTCACCATCGAAGCATCCGGCCAGGCCTAAGTTTGTTTTGTCTTCTTGGAAAAAAATAACATTTAGCATCTCTCGAACTTCGTCATATCCTGTATGACACAAATTAGATATTCTTTCATTTCTTTTAACAAAGAGCGAGTTTTACTATAAGTACGCCTCTCAATGCTTTTACCAAGGGCCCTTCGACGCGCTTCACATCTATACAATCCCAACCATTCTCATGAAAAGCACTAAGCATCTTCTAAAGAGCGTAGGCTCCAAAGCTCAGTCCATTTCTTACTGCCATCAGTACAAACTAGAGCCTCACCCATGGCTTAGTGACCTATACATTTCACAAATAGTCAGGCCATCAGCTCACAGGAAAGTGTTTCTCGGCCCGCTAGCCACCAGAAGTGCGTTGGCTAGCGCAAATTATGCTGTTGTGGCAGCCGCTCAACCTCTACTAACGGGAGCACAAATCTGATAACATGGAATGATAGCACCGAAAAACGCTGTGATCTCAGAAGACGCCTATTTAGCTACACCAAGCAATAGCTCAAAAAACAGCACCAAGTTACATACAGTATCCTTTAGGTTCTGGAACTTGATACGTAGATCTCATCTATGTATGCAAATCTCACTCGGAACACTCACAAGATATTTCTCCTGTCATCACACATGGACTTTTCCATGAGATTCAGCCAAAGGTATTAATTAGTATGGTTTTACACTACGTACCAATGATTCAGTATTCTGAGAAAATATGAATCTAAGATATCCCAATGTTCGCAAATGCCAATGGTATGGAAACAATTGCCTACTAATATTGTGACTGAACATATGTTTAGAACTGGGCTCGATGTGATGTCAGATTGTGTTCCTCAAGCTTCTCCTATGAATATATATAACGTACAGATCTGCAATATTAACGGCTCAATTAATTGCAGTGACCTGACCTCTGGGAGCAAGCTAATATCCTATTCTGCAAGACTTATCCTTCTATGTTGATGCTGTGGCGATGTTAGTCTAACAAGAAACAATTTGCCTCATACCCTTGTGGTTATTACACCTGGGAGTGCTAACTATATTCCTTCTAGGCCAACTTTGAAACTAGGTGGCGTCGAAAAGTATCTCCTATGAACAAATATTAGCCAATTAAAAGTTTCAAGGCTAAGCACTAGAATGAAAGCGTTGTTGCATTGAGTTGATACCTAAATTCTAAAGCGACAAACACCAAATTCACATAGAGCCTCGACCCTTGACAGTCCAAGGCTGAACAGCCCCAATAGTATAACATCAATAGTTGCGGTCTAAACGATTTCAAGGTTTCACTAATCGAACAGTCCTAGATACATCAGCATTCTATTCTTAGAAAATCAAATCACCGTTGCCTTGCCCCGCCACTTCGGTGGCCCCGATTCCAGCCCAACCCAACCCAACCGACATATCCGTCTTACAGCGAAAAACAGAAACAAAGCAAACAAAGGAAGGTTATGGCATATCATATCATATGGAAAAAGCGTAATTCGTTAATTGGATTTCTCCAAGGTAGTCCACGGGGTAAGCCTTCAGCCCAGGAGTACGACGTATATAAAAAAGATAAAAAAAAGACAGTAGAACAGGACCTCGGTAGAAGGCAAAAGGTAGTCAGCAGGAAGCAGAACCCGAGACAATTGCATACGCCACAAGTGCAGGATTTGAGGCACAGATGCAACACACCACCCACACCCATACCCGCCCTAATGCGCCAGTGACAAAGATACACCCCGGTCCTGGTGTCCCCGCGCAGCCGGGACAAGAGAGATGACACGAATGGAAATCGCAATTTCCCAAGAAAAATGTCCGGATGTTCGGTGAAACAGGCGACTCATATGTGAAAAGCGGAGTGGAAACGCCCCAACTCCTTGATGAGATCAAAAAAATAGATATTGTTTAAAAGTAAAGATTGAAGCACATTGCAGGCGTGAATTGTCGTAGGTTATCGTATTTATGGGTTTCGTGGTTGGATTAATAGGCAGACTGGCGTCTCCCCGCAGCAGGAATGCGATATTCCTCGTCGTATGGGTAATAGCGTTGTCTCGGCGAGTAGATCACGTCTTCTTCCTTGTATGCCCTCCCATACTTGACTTTGACGTCCTTTTCTACGGGGCGGGTAATATATTCGACGTCCGGATGGGGACGAGAAGAAGGGCGCGCAGACCGAGTCTCAACACGAGGCAAGGCTTCCCCGGTATAGGTACTGCTTCGCTTGGGTGTTTGGCGTGTAGAGGATACGCGATCCCGGTCGGGGGATCTCGCCGAGCGATACTTTGATGACTTTGGTTCTGCAATGATGTGCTCTGGTTCCTTGACAACCATGTAACGGACTGAGGTCTTGGGAGAGCTTCCTCTGGGAAGCATTTCAGGGGTACCGGGACTGGAATATCCCGAGTCGTCGCGCCTCCTGGAAGTCCGTGGTGGAGGTTGCTCCCGGGACATTTCGTATAGTGTTGAGTCCCGACTCTCCCGCTTTGGACGGACGACGCCAGGGGCGGTTGCGGAGCGGGTGTTGAGGAAAGGACGGAGACCCTTGATACCCGGGGTGGTTGCGGAGGGTTGCAGCTTAGGTGGCCTGGTCTCATAAGCTCGAGATTGTTCCAGGTGCTCATAGGAATTATCGCGCGATGAAGAGCGACGGCGGGTGGACCGTCCCGTGGATCGCGACCCGGACAACTCTGGTTCCGGCGAGGAGCGACCATGGCGTCGTCGTGGGGACTTGGAACTCCGGGCTTTAGATGCGATATAATCCTCTGCAATGAAGTATTGACTATCGAGCTTGGACCAGCGATCTTCCACATCGGTCTCCTCTTCGTAGCGGCGTTCGCGACGACGAGAGTCCGATGGTCGGGATCGTAACTCTCGCTCTACCTGGGGTGTCCGTTTGATGTGATAGCGGCGGGGAGCGGTGGAATCGGATGTCTCTTCCTCGGATTCTGCATAGGATCCAAATGTATCGCGCTTTGCCTCGGCCTGTCGTCGTCGCTCCACATCACGCATCTTCGCACGGTCGGAATGCGTCGCCTTGGCCGTTGCCTTGGCCGCTTCCCGCTCTTCCTTTGCCTGATGATACATGCTCATCGGTGTTCGACTCTTCTTCTTCTCTTCTGTCTGTTTCGTCTTTGAGCGTAGGCCAAACTCTTCGCATTTGCGGGCCGTTGTGGAGCGGGGCTCATCTGTGAATCGTAATTCTTCCTCAAAGAAGACTTCTATGGGGACTCTCTCCTCCATGAAGTGACCATTGCGGAATTCCCGAGTGCCGCCTGCACTCCCCCGTGGGGAGTTGTAGGTAGAGTCTGTTCGTCTGCGTTCCAGCAGTTCACGCTTCAGCTCGGCAATCTTGACCTTTTGGTCATGTTTAGTCCGTCGGACATCGTCTGAGAGTAGTTCATAGGCCTGTTGGACTTTCTGAAATTCTTCTTGGGCAGCAATGCGCTGCGACTCATCTTGTATCTTGTCTGGATGACACTTGAGAACCCGCTTTCGATGGGCGGCCCTGATTTCAGGGATAGTGGCATCCTTGGCAACACCAAGTACTGCATATGGATCGATATCTGGAGGTATGGACATTGTAGGTAATGTTATCAATTCACTGAATTGAATGGGGATGAAAAGAGATGAAAGTGAGAGGTGGGAAAGAAGCGGTGGAGAAGATATGGAATGTCAACAACCTGATGTTGACGTAGGAAAGATTCCACACCGATCCAGAATGAACTGGAGATGATTTGCAATGCAGGAATGAAATAAAAGGGAATTGTCAACAATATGGCCGATTAACCGTAACTAAAGCCAACAAAAAAAAGGGACAATGAATCAGCTGTCTGAGCGGCCTCCTTTTTACCAACCGAATGTCAGGGGGCGAATGACTGCGCCACAATAGAATTTCATATGTAATATAGAGACATAGAGAGTCAAATAGACATAGAAAAGATACAAAAAATCTTATCAAAAAGATCAAAGCCCTACAAAGCCAGATATACCCAACCTAATATTTCTTTTCTGAAATTCCCAGTCTGTTCCTTTCACCGGTTTATTGGTGTAAGCACATCCGATTTGTTAGAAATTCCTACCAATCAAAGTCTTTAATACACGTTGGTTTTATAGTGGGGCGATCAATTAAACACGAGGGCCTTTCTCTAAAGGGGGGGATCGGGGGTTCCCCTCTTGAAATCGTCATGACGCCAATCTTTCCTTATTTCTCGATTCAGTCTCTCCTGCATACACCATACATATCCCCAACTTTCATCTCATTAGTGCGGGTGTTTGGCCCTTTTAGGTTCACTCGCCTCACTATTTTATTATTTCTTTTAATTCTTTATTTTTTCGCCTTCAATTCATAACCAGTTATAGTCAACTTGCTTACCTCAATCTGGAATATTTAATTGGTATTATATATTCTGTATTGTATAATAATAAAAAACCAGTACCTGACTTGTTCCATGGTAATACCCCCCGTCTTCCCGAAAGGTTCCGTGGGCCTTAAATTTCCTTCTGAAGAATGTCCATGTTTCTATATATAGTTAGATCTCATTCAATGTTGTATTTCATTCTTCGATGAGAATGTAGCTCACTAATATTACTAGAAATTACTTACTACGGAACACGAAAGTATCTTGGTTCAGGCATTGATTCGCACCCAATCCCTCCAAAGCTAGAACAGCTGGCATTTGTCCCACACCGGCCCCATTCTACGTGTCTTTGCTAGATACCCCCACCTAAGAGGCGACGGAGTACCTATCTTCCAACCATTAACTTGTACTTCGCAGACTATGAGATAATTGCAGACTGTCCATGGAACTACTTACCCCTTCTATCTCGGACCACCCGGTCTATCCACTGGCAAGTCATCTGGAACCCGGTACTGCGGTCCGCGCGGCGGAGGAAATATCCAGACTGGTATTGAAGCTGTGCCAGCCCTGATGACAAGTTTATTGGAAATGGGAATGCCGAGCGAATTAACTCCGCGTCAGGATTACCATATTATCTTACTCTGTATTATTAACTATTCTTGCTTACAACATATATTGTAAATTTAGTTTTACTAAGAATACCATAACTACATAGAAGTATGTTATACTCCGTATCTCTTTCTATTTAATGTCAAGGTGTCCCATGTTTCAAAGCAAGAAAAAGGCCCATCCATTCAAATTCCCGCCTCAAACATTGTCCCTCTATAGCACGCTCTCTTTTCTCTGGAACCTGTCATTTGACATTTTCCCGTGTGATAGTGATTGTGTTATACATTTTCTTGGTCCAGGAGTGGTCAATTTATCCCCAGGCAAGAATGGCATTAGACTGCGCTCTTTCCAACCTGACTGCGCCAGCCGAATCCATAATCCTCCGATCCCATCAGCGGTGCTCGCGAGGTCACACAGTATCTCCCTCTGAAACGTAGGGTCGTAACCTTATACGCTTAAACTGGGATCTACAGCTACCCCTCTTCCCTGACAGTCACGCAACCCCACTAGGACTAGTGTCGGTGAATTCGGGATTGGATGTTGACAGGAGAAAAGGTGTATCTATACTCCGTAGTATAGATAAAAACCATAGTAATATGTAGAATCGAAGTAGTTCAAGCAAGGTACACCTGATATATGTAGATATACTGAATAGCATTATATATACCGTGGCTGGCTAGAAGTGGTAGGTTTGCTACCCGGGAAACAGAAATGCAGATGTAATGCAGGCTGCAATAATGATGCCTAGTATTACCCTCTCATGCAATAATATCCTCTACTATTACAGGGTACTTATGTTGTACGAAGTACGAAGTACTCTGTACTCCATGTGGCCAGACCTCTCTCAGCCACCAAATATTTTCTAGAAAGCAGTGTGCAGGCCTAAGCACCAACCCTTGCGAGAAGCATGTGTTTCCCACGAGGATGGTGTGTTGGAGTGCGTTCCAGTCAAATCCCTGCTGAAGAACCGAACACAAACCCAAATCCCCAACCTATGATTAATACATGATCGGCTGCACATATGCTGTAGTCACATCGGGTATCAAGTCGTGAGTGGGAGGAGCGATTGGCTCAAGTTTTTGTGATTGTGCTTTGCGGCCCAGGCTTGGCCACTAACAGGTCGTTTGGAAGCGCTGCAATTTCCAGAACTTTTGAGTTTTGGGGGAGATCCCCTTTGCAGATGACTTGTGTAAATCATACTGTCGAGAACTTATGATCAAGGAAAGCTGTGATATCACAGGCGCGTGTGGCTTGATGTGATTGCGATCGGTCAGATGGGGTTGTACATTACATGCGGGGTATACGGAGTACATGAGACAAGAGGGGTAGTTTTTGAGGGTAAAAGGTGATTTCTTTTATTTCTTTATATGCTGTATTGATCTAGTGAATATTAAAATCTACATAGTATTACAAGTATCCCTACAGTACGGAATATGGAGCTTATGGATGCTCAAGTTCCATTGGCGGCCTGGATCACCCACCACCTGGGCCTCCGGGGCCAATGCGCACCAATTTAAGAAATGATGTAGGCGTAGACAATCTGACAGCGCTAGGATTGTTCATCAAGTCACTAGCCGACCAATGTTAAAAATCTTGAAGCATCGAGGCGTCCAACCACCAGCATCAAAAGGGCCAAAACTCATAAGCTCACTGCATGTCCCATGGAGATGGTAAAATCTGGCGTCAAGCCACCATGCGCGACCAAAGCAAAGGGAAGATTCCAGTAACGATCGATGGGATCGCCAGAATCAAATGCAATTTCCCAAAGTTGCTTAATTCCATGGATAGAACACATTCACCCGTTCGTGACCTCGTGGTCCTGCCACACGGGAAGTTCAAGATCGACCACAATCGGGGTATTGAACCGTTTGCCCCCCTGGTGAGGCCAACTAGTGGATACGACGGCGGCATTGATAATGCAGGTCTCCTTCCTTAGTGTTTGCAAGGCGTAATCAAACCCCCGGCTACTGGAGCCAGGGCTACCCGCACCCAGGGACAGATGAGCGCTCGGCGAGTTTTGTGGACTTGCCTTTTCAAGAACTCCAGATGACTTTGACCCTGGTGAGGCTGATGACTTTGGTTGAATATCTGCCAGATCATTTTGTCTTTGCCCAGGGTACGAAAATCCCTGGTTGTCTAGTCGTTTATCCCGTTTGCCAGTCAAATCAACTAGGCTTTGTTTCTTGCTGCCCATGGGCGGGAGAACGCCTCGAATGACATGGTCAACTGAATCAAATGGCGATGTTTCATTTTCTGTCTCTGTGTTCGTAAGCTTGCCTCGCCAACGAACTCGTTCGTACCCTCGTCCTTCATGCACATGGCCACAAACAGCTAAGTGCGGCCTGATGAGGCTCAACACACTGCGAAGCGCATCACACCCAACGAACATTCCGTTCGGTTTCTGGTCGCAGTGAGACTGCGGTGGCGTATGCGTGACGACGATATCCGTATCGATTGGTATATGACCCCACAGCGCAGCAGCATCACTCGATTTGTATCCGAATGCCCAGTTTCCTTGGGATGGCGAGTACGGGGACCCAAATATTTTGAATACCGTGTTTGGTCCGCCCGCTCGCTTTAAGCGAATCAGGGCGGGCTCATGGCGAAGTAGGATGACCGAAGGCGACTCCGTTATGAGTTTTAGGCAGCGGTATGGATCCTCGAGGAACTGGCCGTGGAAGCTTTCTCCATGCTCTCCGTAGAATGTTGGGTCTAAGGTGATATCGTGGTTTCCTGTTCAAAACGTTAGGGGTCTTGGGTCGACCTTTTCGTACTAACGAAATGGTGCGTTTTGTCGAGCAGCGAAGATATAACTTCTATTAATCCCGGGGATGAAATCAAGTGTGAATTGGGCACGTGAACAACATATTGAAGGACTGACCACCAACTATGATTTTGATTTCAAAGTCGGCCTTGCAGATCCAATCCATTGTCCTGCGGAGCTCTTTTAAGCTTCCATTGTTTGTCAAGTCGCCAGCATGAATCAGGACATCCCCGTCTGGTAGTTTGAAGCCAGCCTCGGAGGGCGTATATCCGTGTGTATCGGAGACGCAGACAAAACGCGTCTTTTGTCGCATGACTCGAGCATGCAGAGAACCCCTGCTCTAAGTTGTAATATTGAATGGAAATCAAGTTGGATTGTTGGCGTTTGGTGGAATCGCAAGCGTATAGGAATAGTAGGATGTGAGGCCCATGGGAAGTCTTGTTAGCCTTGGTTCTGTTTTCTATCAGGAAGTTCCTTTGGGGAAAAAACAATGGCCTCGACCCGCGCGGGCGAGGTTGGATACATTAGTCATCGGACCCAATGTTTCCACCTGAAGTTGCCTAGATCATAGATCTGACAATCGAAGAAGACGATAAGACAGACTTGAATGTTGTTTACAACAAGAAAGAGGTTTACATGGCAATGCAAGTGGAGGGTTGTAGTTATATATATTAGTATAATGTGACGTATTTGTCCTGAACATTGAAATACTAACTCCCCATTCCTTACAGCTTTGAAGATAACCAGTCGATCTTACTTCTAGAACAGGGTATATCAGCCCTAAGCCAATGCCCTAACGGCACAAAGAAGAGAGAACCATCATGGCGCACAGTGAGAAATAAAATTATTACATAATACAATACTGAGCGGATCCAGGACAGGCGTACCACGTGACCTACATGACCCATGATTGGTCATGCTTAGGGCTGCGACCCTCGCCATTAACACAAACTGAGCGGACCCTCGCTTAGCCCATTCTCATCGAGCCATCCGACTTCGTTGTGTGCGTCGACTTGACACCCACGACAACAACCGCCGACAACATCCATCCCACGGGACATTAGATCACCAGGATGTCCTCCTTCGAATCAGTGGTGCGTTTATACCCAACGACTTGAGTGCCGCCACTCTCGCCCCAAGTGTGCATGTCGAATTTGTCGCTGACTTGAATTGTTTGGAATTAGGTCGTCATCGACGGCAAAGGACACCTCCTCGGTCGTCTGGCCAGCACTGTCGCCAAGCAGCTGCTCAACGGTCAGAAGATCGTCGTCGTGAGATGTGAGGCCCTCAACATCTCCGGCGAGTTCTTCCGCGCGAAGCGTACGTTCAACCCCCTCTCGAATATTTCCTTTGCGTTCTGTGTGATATTGGGAATTGTGTGAATCAGTGTGGAGGAGACAAACGACCGACAACATCCGCAAATCGAGACTACTGGCAGTTCTTTGGTGGCAATTTAGGCCAAATTTTTGGAGGAAATGCTCTGCAACTTGGATATCAGAAAGCTGACTCGAAATTCCGCCATACAGTCAAGTACCACGCCTACCTTCGCAAGATGACTCGTTTCAACCCCACCCGTGGTGGTCCCTTCCACTTCCGCGCTCCTTCCCGCATCCTCTACAAGGCCATCCGCGGTATGATGCCCCACAAGACCGCCCGTGGTGCTGCCGCTCTGGAGCGCCTTAAGGTCTTCGAGGGTGTTCCCCCTCCTTACGACAAGAAGAAGCGTGTCGTTGTTCCCCAGGCTCTCCGTGTCCTGCGTCTCCGCCCCGGCCGCAAGTACTGCACCGTTGGCCGTCTCAGCCACGAGGTTGGCTGGAAGTACCAGGATGTTGTTTCCAGGTATGTGCAATCTCTGCTTAATCACTTGAGTGTGATTTGGCTCAACCCACAAATTCTAACACATTTACAGACTCGAGGAGCGCCGGAAGGTCAAGAGCAAGGCTTACTACGAGCGCAAGAAGGCCGCTCGTCGTGTTCTTGCCAAGGCCGAGCAGGGAGCGAATGTGGACAGCAAGACCAAGACCCAGCTTGCTCAGTTTGGCTACTAGATACCTTTAGCGCGGCTGGTTGTTGTGTCGAGCGATGGTTCTGGGATGGAATCGCGGGCGAATTTGAACGGCAAGCCAACCGACCTTTTTCTGTGGCCCGGTTCCCTAACTCATGAATACCACTGTCTGTGACGCACATGACGGCTCGGGGATTGGGGTCTTCGCAATTTTCAAAAGTCGAAATACGGAGTCGATTGGGATTAAAGGTTCAAAATAGCTGGCCGTTGACTCGCGCCGTGGCGGTTTAATCCAAAGAAACAATTTTCAAGAGTTCAACATGATTCTTATGATCAAAAAATACTTTGACCTATACTTTTTTTTTTCATATCTTGGTAACCCCCTTGATTTCCCCTGTAACATGTATTTTGCCCATATGTATCCCCACATTGCCCTGAGTATATCCATTATATATTAGATCCCGTTATAAAATGTGCCACTCAAAATTCCAAGTTGATTCTCCGTATCCACCTGTCATATCCCCACTTAACTTAACCGACCATGCCATATGTAATCAATTGAAGCGAGTATAGCCGTATGTAGATCAAGCCTTTCCCGAAATTGAGGTCATATTCAATCCCTTAGTCCGGATAATCCCCAGAGCTAGTACCCGAGCACCCCCGCCTCCCCCCTAAGTTAACCGCGCTTGTGCCATCCCCGCATTTTCTCCAACTTGGAGATTTTGTTTTTCTAGTACTTCTTCAACAACTACATACCCCTTGTTAATTTAACACACTTATCCTTTTTCTCTCGCATCAATTCACACGCACCCAGCATAGTATGTCTGGTTCGAAGTCTCGATTGTCTGGCCTACTTGGCCATTTCACAGGTTCAACACCGTCTGAGCCCCGTGTTAATACCCACACGCTATCACCGACTTTCTTCCTTCCTCGTGCTGCTGCCGTTGAACCAAATGTAAGCCCAATGGTACCTAGATAGTATACAATGGTCTAACAAATAATCACACAGGCTGAGGCGATCTACCATGTAACTGCCAACAACAAGATCCTTCGCAGGAGCTATGGCGAGACTGCAGACCGAGCGAGGGGTCTCGCTTACTACCTCAAAAAACATGGGTTCAGCAGAGTGGGGATACTCTGTCCGAATACCCCGGCATTCCTCGAGTCAATTTTTGGAATCGCCGCAGCTGGCGCTGTCAACATTGGTAACCTAATGTCTTTTGAGAAGGGATATCGGTTACCGATTAAACTAACATGTTTGCAGCTGTCAATTATCGTCTGAAACAAGATGACATTGCTTATATATTTGATCATGGTGATGCGGAAGTGATCATTGTCGACGAGGAATATGTTCCACTTCTGGAGAACTATCGATCCCAACACCCCAACATCCATATTATCGTAGATACTGATACCGATGCAACGGAGGGTGAGCTGACCGGTCCTTTCGACGAGGCTGTCTTGGAAGGTCTCAGACACGATATCGATACAGGCTCTAAGGGCTGGGAAGGACTCGAGAGCCAAGCTGCCGATGAAGAGTCCACACTTGCGTTGGCATATACCAGCGGGACTACAGCCCGCCCCAAGGGCGTTGAGTTCAGTCATCGAGGGTGCTATTTGGCAACATTAGGAAACATCATTGAAACTGGCCTGAACTACCATCGCGGGCGTGCCCGTTATCTATGGACTCTACCCATGTTTCACGCTATGGGTGAGTGCATCTCCTCCAGAGTGATTTATTGATCTGCATGCCTAAAACATATATTTATACATATAGGCTGGACTTTTCCATGGGCAGTGACAGCCGTCCGTGGTACTCATTATTGCCTACGCAAGATAGACTACCCCGAAATCTGGAGGTTGCTGAAAAATGAGCATATCACCCATTTCAATGCTGCACCGACTGTTAACACTTTGCTTTGCAACGCGAAAGAAGCAGAGAGACTTCCCGAGGCTGTGCGCGTTACAGTTGCAGCAAGCCCGCCCACGCCTCTCCTCTTCGAACAAATGACCGACCTAAACTTGCATCCGGTACATGTTTATGGAATGACGGAGACTTACGGCCCAATCACCAAGGGCTACCATTTGCCGGAATGGGACGCGCTTCCTCTCAAGGAGAAATACCAGAAGATGGCCCGCCAAGGCCACGGCTTTATTACAAGTCTTCCAGCTCGGGTTATAAAGACGGAAGTGCCTGAAGGGACCATTACCGATGTTAGCAAGGATGGCCAGGAGATTGGCGAAATCGTTTTTGTCGGAAATATCTGTGCTCGAGGGTACTACAAAGACCCCGAAGCAACTCGGAAACTATTCGCGGGGGGTGTCCTGCACTCCGGAGACTTGGCTGTCTGGCATCCCGATGGCGCGATTCAGATTCTCGATCGTGCGAAGGATATCATCATCAGTGGTATGTGGCAAGCGACCTTAATGCCAATAGACCAGGTATGCTAACTATGATTAGGCGGCGAAAATATCTCCTCAGTTGCACTCGAGTCTATGCTCGTTATGCATCCTGACATTTTGGAAGCTGGTGTCGTTTCTGTCCCTGACTCCCATTGGGGCGAACGCCCTAAAGCCTTTGTTACAGTGAAAGAAGGCAAGAGCCTACAAGGTTCAGACTTGATTGATTGGGCTCGAAATGTTAGCGGAATCAGCAAGTTTATGATTCCTCGAGAAGTGGAAGTGGTTACTGAACTACCTAAGACCAGCACTGGCAAAATCCGGAAGAATGTCTTGCGTGACTGGGTGAAGGGTTCGAGGGAAGCATAGACAAAGAAAAAGACAAAGACTGGAGATGAATATATTTCTATGTATATGGTTATATATGAATACAGAGATTCTGGAAGAAAGTAGGGCTTCCCCGGTGGGCCGTACATTCCAATGGTCAGATGTCCGGTATTCCCGAGTAGATCGATTGCTAATCAAGCACGAGGTCACATCAAGCGACCTATACTTCACGACTTCATAGTCTGAATCAATGTATTCTAATAATTTTCTCTTATATAAAGCAGTTCATATTAAAATTCATACCCCAAAGGACTGTACAAATCTACATACTCCCATCTTATCAAACGATAAGCAGTGCTTGGCATTGACTCCGCAACACTGTGAAACCCGGCCCCATTGCCTCATCTCCCCCTCCATGCCGCTTTTATCCCTTCACATTTACTTGCATTGATTTTCCTGGTTACGCATTTGCATCTGACCCAAGGGGTGCTTGGGGTCATGATCTAGATCGCTTCGACTTCATTCTGAACGACCTGTCCCTTTCAACTTCTCCCTTGCCATCCAAATACACGCCGCGACACCACGCTTACACCCCTCGTGCACCCACCTTGCAGCAGATATTTCCCGAAAACTACATCCATCCACTAGTCTTCAGACAAAAAAAGTCTTAGGACTGTTAACTGATCAAAGACTGGCTGCATCTGTGGACCGGACTTGCCTGTTCCAGTCTCACATGCACTGCCCATGCAGAGTTCTTTGAAGTTATGAGATTTCAACCATACCGACACCCGAAAAATATATTGAAGCGAAACTCGAAAAGAGAATCCACACCCACTAAGATGCATCGGCTACGAGAAGCCGGTCGATGCCCAAGTGCAGCCCCTTCCGAAACCTCTGGATCGACGTCACCCGAGCGTGCCGCCGATGATGACACCGATTTCTTCATGGCCCAGGCCAACGACTCGCAATCTTCTATCGGGGTGGCCAATTTCCGCGACTCTCGCTTGTCAAGTGAACCATCCGAGCCGCTGCCGCCGATCGGCCGCCTCCCACCCGAGATTCTGATCGCGATATTCTCGAAATTGGTTGCGCCCTTAGATATGCTGAACTGCATGCTAGTATGTCGTGGATGGGCTGCAAACGCTGTAGGGATACTGTGGCATCGGCCGACTTGCAACACCTGGGCCAATGTGAGAAGCGTGACTACGTCGTTGGGGAAACCGGATAGTCTTTTCAACTACGCAGACCTTATCAAGAGACTGAATCTATCTGCTCTGGCAGATGATGTCAGCGATGGGACTATCCTCTCTTTCAACCAGTGCAAGCGTATTGAGCGGTTGACATTGACAAGTTGCAAGAACTTGACGGATAAGGGCGTTTCGGACTTGGTGGAGGGGAACCGGCATCTGCAGGCATTAGATGTTTCAGAATTGCGACACCTTACAGACCACACGCTCGCCACGGTGTCTAGGGACTGTCCCCGCCTGCAAGGCCTGAACATCACGGGATGTTCAAATATCACCGACGACGCGTTGCTCATTGTATCACAAAAGTGTCGCCAAATCAAAAGGGTATGTGGATTATATGCTGGATTTTGGGGTAGACCTCGATCGCTAACCGCATAATAGTTGAAACTGAACGGGGTTGCTAATGTCTCAGACCGGGCCATTCAATCCTTTGCCGAGAACTGCCCGTCTATACTGGAAATCGACTTGCATGACTGCAAACTTGTCACTAGCACATCAGTTACTCCAATGCTTACGACACTGCGGCATCTCCGAGAACTGCGGCTCGCACACTGCACTGAAATAGACGACAGTGCGTTCATGTCGTTACCTCAAATGACCTTTGATAGTCTTCGCATCCTCGATCTCACTGCGTGCGAGAACGTCAGGGATGACTCAGTAGAGCGGATTGTGCGTGCAGCTCCTCGTTTGCGCAATCTGGTACTGGCCAAATGCCGATTTATCACAGATCGATCTGTGATGGCAATTTGCAGGCTAGGAAAGAACCTCCACTATGTGCACCTGGGCCACTGTTCGAATATCACAGACTCGGCCGTCATGAACCTGGTCAAGTCCTGCAACCGCATTCGATACATCGACCTGGCCTGCTGCAACCTCCTAACGGACCGTAGTGTACAGCAATTGGCAACCTTGCCGAAGCTCCGAAGAATCGGTCTTGTTAAATGTCAGGCTATCACTGATCAGAGTATCTTAGCGTTGGCACGGCCCAAGATGGGCCACCATCCTTCCGTCAGCAGTCTAGAGCGTGTTCACCTGAGTTATTGTGTTCAGTTGAGAATGAAGGTGAGTCTTGTCCGAAGGGAGAGTTCTACTATACACGATATGCGATACTGACATTACGGTTTAGGGTATTCACGCTTTGCTGAATAGCTGTCCACGCCTGACTCATTTGAGTTTGACCGGTGTCCAAGAATTCCTGCAAGATAGTCTCACTGCATTCTGCCGAGAAGCTCCCCCGGAGTTCACGCAACAACAACGGGACGTATTCTGTGTGTTCAGCGGTGAGGGTGTCAATCGGCTGCGGGACCACTTGAACCGAAATGAACCCCAATTCCAAGAAGAAGCCGAAGCCACGATGTACGATGACGATGAAGAACTGGACGAAGATGAGGGCCAGATGACCGGACTGATGAACGCAACTGTCATCAACGACGGAGACGATGATTATATCGACGTTGGGCCTTGAATACTTGATACGATACCCCTTTTCTTTGCAGTCGGAAATATGCCCAGACCATCGCATTTATCTTTTTTTATTCGATTCCCTGTTTTCTTTTATCCGCAATCCCTAGCTGGATACAGAAGGCAGTCATATTTCTACCCATATGAGCAAAGATCACCTTGTCCTTCATTCTGTGTTATTGTGGGATATGCATTAGTACGTTAGCGGTTACGGGTTTGGATTATTTTTTGTTGTCAATGTGTAATCGCATAGAATTTACGCAATTCATTTCATGCACTCGTCTCTCAAGTTCACATGATGACTGTAGTTGTGTTAGTGTAGTAGGATTGTGAAGCATATCTGCATAAAAATGTACATAAAAATGTAACTTACCGTAATGACGGTACCACAAGCTACCCCCGCATTTGGCTTAAATTCGACTCCAACTTCCTCCACTCCACCCATTACCACTCAGCTTGAATAGCACAGGGTATGGCTACCTACAAGGCCAGCAACCCTCTGGCGTTTACGCCATGGCCGGTAACAATCATCACTACAGCTGTGTACCTTGCCTTGATCATCCCATTGCTGGTGATCCACCACAACGTCCCACCCGCGCCTCGGACGAGTCCTAACGGCCTCAACCTCACAGAGGCATGGCAAGATCTTCAGAGCCTGACAAAAGGCTTCCATCCTTACAACTCACACCAGAATGACGAGGTCCGCTCTTGGTTACTTGAACGCATCGACGCGATCAAGCAGTCTGCCCCATCCACCGAGGAATTCCGCGACGCGAAGGAGGAGAAGCCCGATGTTTTCGTCTTCGACGATCTGGTGTCTAACCTAACTTTCATCGATAAAAGTGTCGGTGTTTACTTTGAAGGCAACAATATCCTTGTCTACATTCGCGGCTCGGAAGATACAAAAGAGAATTGGTGGGAGACTCCTGGCCGAATGCCCGTTGGCAAGGGAGGGGTACTTGTCAACGCGCACTTCGACAGCGTTTCGACCGGGTACGGAGCGACAGACGATGGAGTCGGTGTTGTGACTTGCCTGCAGCTGGTGAAATACTTCCTGACACCAGGTCATGCGCCGCGCCGCGGATTGGTGGTTCTCCTCAACAATGGCGAGGAGGACTATCTGAACGGTGCACGCGCGTACAGCCAGCATCCGATGGCACACTTTGCTCACACATTCCTGAACTTGGAGGGTGCGGGTGCTGGAGGTCGTGCTACATTATTCCGCAGCTCGGATACGGAGGTCACCCAGGCGTATGCAAAATCACAGCACCCATTCGGCACGGTGTTGAGTGCCAATGGGTTCGAAAAGGGCCTTATTAGCAGTCAGACGGACTATGTTGTTTTGGACGGTATCTTGGGCCTGCGCGGGTTGGATGTCGCTTTCTTTGAACCTAGAGCTCGCTATCACACTGATCAGGATGATGCCCGACACACAAGTATGGACTCGCTCTGGCATATGCTCTCTACTGCTGTTGCTACGACAGAGGCACTTGTGTCTGACACCACTGATCGATTTGACGGACATCTCCGCGACGATGGAACTGTACCTAGCGGCTCAGGTACTCGGGCTGTTTGGTTCGACCTGTTTGGGAGTGCTTTTGCTGTATTCCGTCTGCATACGCTGTTTGCATTGTCTGTCACTATACTGATTGTGGCGCCTTTGACATTGCTTATCACTAGTGTCATTCTTTCAAAGGCCGACAAGATGTATCTCTTCCGCTCATCGGCTTATTCTGAGATCAACGACGACAACGTTCCGCTGCGTGGGCTGCGAGGTTTCTTCCGGTTTCCATTCTTGATCTCAATCCCTACAGCAGTGATTGTCGGACTGGCTTACATGGTGACAAAAGTCAATCCTTTAATTGCCCATAGCAGTTCATATGCTGTATGGAGTATGATGATTTCAGCTTGGATCTTTTTGGCTTGGTTTGTATCTCGCGTCGCGGACTTCGCACGCCCATCAGCCTTTCACCGAGTCTATACCTGGACTTGGATGTTTGTTTTTACCTGGTCTCTCATGGTAGTGGGCACTGTTTACGAGCACGAGGAAGGGCTCGCTGGTGGCTATTTCATGCTATTTTACTTTGCCGGGACCTTCTTGGCCACATGGATCTCTTATTTGGAATTATTCTCTCTGCCAACAAAGACAGAGTACGTCGGTGGATTAGCTGAATCACGACGGCCCAGTACCCAGGGAAGCCGACTTGCCGCATCGGGCGATGAGAACCAAGACGATGATGCCGAAGTGGACCCGACTGAGTCGACATCGCTCTTGCATGGCCGACACCGCACCACCTTTGCCAACTACGTCCGCGTGGGGGTAGACCGCGCCTCTGATGAACTAGACGAAGAGGAAGAAGAGAAAGACCCGAACGTGTATGCAAACGAGCAGGGATGGAGTGGCGCGTTGCCCCGATGGACGTGGCTGTTGCAGCTTCTCATCACAGCTCCCGTAATTCTCATGCTGATCGTGCCACTCGCTCTTCTGATTACCAGCGCTCTCAGCCAGACCGGTCAGGATGGTAGTCCACAGCTGATCGTCTATCTCTTCATTGCCATCCTTACTGCACTTCTCTTTGCGCCTATGCTGCCATTTATTCACCGCTACACATACCACCTGCCTATCTTCCTACTCTTTGTTTTCATCGGAACCATGATCTACAACCTTGTCGCTTTCCCGTTCGCAGACTCCAACCGTCTGAAGCTGTTCTTCCTGCAAGAGGTCGATCTCGACAACGGAATCTCTACTGCTTCATTGACTGGCATGCCACCATTTGTAAAGGATGTTACCTACGGGCTCCCCAGCGCAGCCGGCCAAGATGAGACCTGTGATTGGACTTACCGAGGCAAGAACCATGTCCAGCGATGCTCCTGGAGTGCGCCACTACCACATGTTGTCCCCAGTACCAACTCTCTATCCGTTTCAACCGAGGATCCCAACTCTCTGCTTGAGGCTTCTGAGTTGTCGTCGGACTGGATTTCCTTCAGCATCTCCCACCCTCAGCCGGAGAGTTCCTCTGTACGCTTCGAAGTATCAGGCCAAAACACACGTAACTGCCGTATCAATATGGACGGTAACTACATCACGAACTTCAGTGTGATTGGCTCCTCCGCTCCGGACCACCGTTTCCTGAACCCGTCGCCAGATGGTCTGAACCGGATCCAATTATGGAGTCGTACATGGGATAACAAGTGGACTGTCGATGTCGATTTCTCAAAGCATGACTCATCTGAGACCGATGAGGTTGACGAGCCCTCTATCACGGGTCGCATCACCTGTCTATGGAGCGACAATAACCGAGTCGGCCTCATCCCCGCCCTCGACGAGGTGAGACAGTTTAGCCCAGCGTGGGTAGCTGTTACCAAGTTCTCTGATGGGTTGATTGAGGGATCTCGATCCTTCGAGATTAAGCGTTCAAGCCTGGGGGCTTTGCAGTCTTGAGTTTTAGTGGTAGGAGGAACCTGGTCTCTAACACCTTTTTCTATGTACGATTTATGAGCTGTTTTGTTTTACCGCCCGTCCTTTTTTATTGTGCTGTGCTGTGTACTATCCTATCGACGAGGCATTTGTTGATTTATATTTCAGTCGAGACATATCATACCCTTGACTACATCTTCTAAGTAATAAGGACCTTGATGTCTGGACTCTAGGAGACGGAAAAAGCAGAGGAAGAGGAGCAACTATCTACTCTAAGTCTAAGCAACTATACATACGGAAAATGTATCTATAGCGTCGTATTCTCAGTTCGCCAGTGTGTGCAGGCTAATTGGGCTCGCAGGAGGTTCATCCAGTTCAATATTCGAGTTCTCAATGAGGAATTTGTGCATGTAATATGCCACTAAGCTATTGTAGCAAGGGTTACCAAGTGGCATAGGGCTACAGGGTTACAGATGTTAGGAATGTCCGACCCCTTGGAACCTCTCGGGACATTTTTAAGGAATCTAAGCTCGAGCCATCAACTATCCGGGGTAATTAAGCGGATAGTTAGCCTTAGTTTGAACTTCATGGGATAGAATCAATAAGAATCTCAACATAATTTGCTACATCACACAGAACGCCAGATGACCTGTATATTTCGAAGAGGGATGTGCAACCGAGATAGGAACATATTTGACAACCGCATAATACTGGTAATCGTTCTATATACAAAGATGAACATGCATCTACATTGCACTATCGTAAATGAACCCTGGTGGGTTTCAGTTGTAGATTCCCATTGAGGAAGCTGCTGACTCGGCGACACAAGTCTATGAATCTAGAATTCTTAATGACTCAGGAGCTGGGCGCGAGACGCGAGGATTGACCGTGGAAGTTGAATTTCCTCGGTGCTGTTGTGGCGGAGGTTGATGTGTGTTCACAGGGAATGAAGTGGGATATTTGGAGTCCCAATGATCATATATCATAAGCCGTGATTCGTAAAAAGAAGCTCGAAGGGTATTGCTGCGAGATCCATTCTCATCCTGGTTTCTCGGGCATTTCGCGACGAGTTTGTTGCCGTGGATAATGGTAGAATGGATTTGTGAAGTCGATTGGGAGGTGATCGACATGATAGGCGCGGGCCTCGTTGCTCCACGTGTGTGAGAGATCGGAATTGGTTCGTATGCGGTCGGGTGGTAAATGCTCGAAGATGGCGATAGAAACGTCCTCTGGATCCATGCGGGAAGGTCTGCGATGGATGACACTCGGGACGGCGTGGGTCACGTCGGAGGTGACCCGGGTTGCGTCGACGAAATCGGGGAGGTCGCGTGGCGCAGAGAAAGACTCTGGTTTCCAGACGTGGTTATGTACCAGGTGAATGAGTTTACCGAGGACGGCGAATTCAAGCTTCAGCTTGATGCTGTATACGACGCCTTTGAGCATTGTTTCCATGATGTAGAAGTTCATGTACTCGGCGACGAGAAGACCCAGGTCTAGGATGATAATGATGAAGTTGATGACCAGTAGCTGGTACTGAATCTTGCGTTTGGTACGGTCTGGGTCTAGGCGTAGCATGCGTACTGTTTCCCAGATGTAGAGGCCTGAGATGATGAATTCCTGCAGACAGAAGCCTGTCATTTGGATCTTTTCCATTATATTGTAGCCCTTCTTCCATGTTTCTAGGGAGGGCTCGTTGTAGACCAGGTTGGTACCGTAGGTGAGGGCGGTAGTGGGAAGATGAAGGATAACTGCGTTAACCATGATCATGATCAACACGCGACGTAGGACTCGGTGGTTTGATAGGACCAAATGGAGGCGTGAGTAGAGGACAATCGATTGGCCGGTGACCATACACCACCATCCAATTGTGAGAAAGGTGACTGGGAGCCATGGAATGTCCAGGTTGAGGTTGAAAAATTTGAGTAAGAAGCCTAGCGAGTAGGGAAGTAGACCGGCGGAGGAGGAAATCAACAAACTCCAAAAGTAGAGTCCTCTGTATTCTGCGAAGGTGACGAAGAGAAGGATCAATAACTCTAAAGCATTGTACCAAGTGATGCCAGCAAGAGTGGCGATCGTGATCTTCATGCTCAATGAGGCTCCTTCATAGTGAGCACTGATGCCGTCCCCGGCAGCACTGAAATCGCCCATGGCGTTGACTCAGGGGAATGGCATAGCGTGTGGAGCAGGAGTGGATCGGGTATATAGGGAAAATCTGGGGAATTCTGGGGGATTCTGGGGGATTCTGGGACTCGACCTTTTTTTTAAAAAAAAAAAAAAGAAATAGAGAAAGAGAGAAAAGGTACAACAAAGAGAACAAAGAGGCACTGGGGCGTAAACCCCGTATAATTTCATGCGGGGGCCGGGGCGATCAGGGTACCCCAGACAGGTGAAAATATAAAAGACGTCCGTATAGCCCGGTTATATTAAGAAAAGAGATCTAAAAAAAAGCAAAAACAAGGACCATCTCACTGTCAGATTGTGTTACCTGTGCTTTCGGGGATCTCCATGTTTTACAATGAGATTGTTGAACTTATCTTTAACGTCTAAAAACTTCAAATCTAAGGGGGTTCAATATATTGAAAATATTCAAAAAGCCACTCGGCTAAAAGGGGGAAATTATTGATTGCCCGTTTGCCAGCCAAGACTTTCTTGGTATATCCAGCCTCAAAAAGGGTCATAGCCCTCTCTTTATTGCGCCACGAAGCCTTGTTTATGAGTCTTTTTGACTCTGTAACCATGGACTGGTAAGTTATTTCTTTGTTCCAATTCATAGAGGAGTTCAATTCGATATCACCTTTTTATAAAAAGAATATCCCTTAGCCAAGGAGTCTGGAGATTTCCATAACCTTCCAATATTGGGAAAATGAGATCTGCTGATGTCATCGGGAATTGGCGCGTGACCTGAATAAACATAGCCCTAGCTTCCAAGGCTGGATAATTCCGAAAGACAAAATAAGACATTTATTTCGGAGTACTCCGTATAAAATTCAATTTATTCATAATACTTCATCCAATGATGCTCTTCTTTAAATCCAAGCAGCTCCTTAATTTTCCGGTTACTGATCGGAGCCTCTCTGGCCCCCAACTCTCGCGTAACCGGGACACCAGGACAAACCCGCGCTAAGAACTCACCAGTGTTCTCATAATTGGTAATTTCGTCATTGACAGCATTAAAAACCTGAAACCCAAGGCCATCCTTCTGAATTCCAAGATCACACATCTGCCCAAGATCACGAGCATCAATGTACGACCACCCATGCGGCGCCCATTTCTCGGGATTTTCAACATAGGAACGGAACATGGACTGTTTGTACTCCTCCGGCGCAACAATGCGACCAATACGCAGTATATAGATATCACTTCCATACCGACGCGCAAATCCACGCGCAATGCTCTCGCCGCACACCTTTGAAATGGCGTACGTGTCCATTGGGTTTGCGTCGACGGTTTCTTCAACTGGGAAGGAAGGGTAATCTACATCTCCCTCTGCATAGCTCACGCCGTAGACTGTGACAGAACTGGCGATGATGATTTTCTTGATACCGAGGCGCGAGGCGGCTTCGATTATGTTGTACGTTGCCGAGGTATTACCGCGGAAGGTTTCGTCGTCTGGGACGATCATGTTGCGCGAATACCCGGCCATGTGAATGACTGCATCGGGGACTAGCCCGAGTGGTTCGCGGAATGGCTCGGTCAAGTGGAAATGAGAGCCTAGTGCGCTGTAGACCTGTCCGGTGTTTGTCAGGTCGACGCGCATTGTATGGACTTGCTCTTCTAGCTCGACGGGAAGAGGAACGAGGTCGAGGTTCAGGAGATCATGGCCTTGTTGAAGGAGATATCTGATGATATGCTGTCCGGCTTTGCCAGAGCCTCCAGTGATCACGATTCGCTTTCCCATATTGTGGTCTTGTTTGTAGGAGGGGTTGGATAATGCGGGGTATAGATGATCACGATATCGCTTTATAGATGGATTGATGTAAACAACGGAGAGGTGAGTTTACACAAGTGGCTAGTCAAGATACTTTGATTTGAACGAAAGACTATCAGATGCGCTTGAAGGGACAGGCTACGCTTGTACGCGAAAGCGTGGAGCCGGAAGATGACATTCCGAGGTGTTCGGCCCGACAAAGATGGAACGAGACTTTCCGGATGAGTAGAATGACACCCATTGCTAATTTACTATACGCAGCTTTTATCAGTGACATAGGAGTCGAGTGATAGTAGAGTCTTTGTACATAGAATAATACTATGCATGTCTTTCCTCTTTTGGCCAGAACGGCTAACCGCATAACTCGCATATTTAGGGCATATTCTTATGACAAGAAAAAAATATATTCAACCCCATCGAATTACCCAAAACAGCACCGCCAACATTTTTTGGGAGCGTGGGCTGGTTAGCGCCATTAGTTCTTTGCTTGCCCGGATTGCCCGTTGGTCAAGGCAAACCTCGTTCTATTGGTTAGTTATGATTTTGTCTGCTATACGGGCAACAAGTGCCAAGGGTGCATAGCCTTCACCGACAAGTTGAGAAGTATTTGCATTATGCGTTTGCTGGATTGCAAGCAAAAATTCGATGCTAGAAGTGTATCTGGCTTACAGGGTACAAGCATTCTTAATATTCTCTCGAGGTTTTTATGAGGCTCAAAATGAGTAGTACTATGTGCAAACAGTCAAGCGAGAGTTATTTTCTATAGGCTTAGCAGAAGGCGCAGAACCCTGCAGGCTCTCTTCCCGTGTTTCACCCTATGCTCACCCTATGCGGGGTTTACCCCAGACCATCCAGGCCGAGTGCAACGTACAGATGTTATTTTTATATAGTATTCTGATTGGTGTGCATCCCGAGGCCTGTAGTTCTCAGCAGTGCCTACGTAATAATACCCCGAACTGGTCTTCACGTTTGGGGCCCTCATAGATCTTATTTAGTGTTGCTTCTTATAGCCTTGTGGGAGGATCTTGATGATTTCATTCAGCTGAACAGCCATTACTATCGCCAAGCTGGATAATTAACCTTAGTCAAGATATTAGCGCAGAATTCTATGTTGCGGACATGGCAGGGTACAGGAAATCCAACTCCTTTGTTTTGATGGATAGGCGGTCTGATATTACCAGGTGATCACGATGATAATATCTCACACCTGCTCTAGCCTGTTTGACAATCGTAGTCGCCTAGTAAGACCACGCAGAGCATATTATAATGAATATATTCACAACAATGATTTGGACAATATGCTCTTGCGGACGGTTTCAGCTAGAATATCCGCGACAGCCTTCATCCCATCAAGGTTCGGATGGAGAAGTGGCCCCGATGCAAAGCCTCCAACCCAGGGTTCTTTGCTGCCGAGTGTATGTTCCTGACTGAGTTGGTGAATTGGGACTGTTTCACACCAATCTGTCCGACCTTCCACGGCGGTAGAATATGCATGTTGTAGACCAGACGCAACGCCGCGGTAATGCTCAATTCTCTCCTGTGTCAGCGGGATATCCCGACCAGATTGAGTGCCAGGTCCTAAAACAGCAAGATATTCGACAAGGAAGATTCGAGCTCCCGGGGCCCGTTTGTGTATTTGATCGAGGACTCCCCCTAATCTTTCTGCCAATTCGCTGGGTGATAGTGGCGCGGAAGATTGTAGCTCGGCATCACAAGCATCGGCGATCATGCCGCCAATGTAGTTGATGTCGTTTCCTCCAGCAGTCACGGTGATTATATTGGCATCTTCGGGGAGGTTGGAGATTTGCGGTGGGAAGGTCGTGTTGAATGGAGTAGACTGTGGATCGACTGTTATGTTGAGCAATGTTGCACCAGAGACTGACAGATCAGTGAGATCAGCGTTTAAGTGCTGCGCCAAAAGATGGGGATAATTCTGCCCTGATCGCAATGCGGCATATGGCTCGATTTGTGGGGGAATGTCGGGACCAGCAGCAAAGGAGCTGCCCAGGCTTGCAATTTTGAGTTTCTTTGAAGATTCCATAATCCAGCAAATAGAAGAGCAGCGGAGTAGAAGAGCAGGGAAGTGACTTGAAGTTGGAGAGTAGCTTTGGCAGAATTCACGGGAAATTGATGCCTAAAATGTTAGGCCAAAAGTGCTCAGCCCAGCTTGCGCCCTGGCGCCCACCGGTCTAGGCGGGCGCAGCACCTGTAGCCCTTAGCCCCGGGCCTGAGCCCCATATCCCGGGGGATCGAGTAAACATCGGTGGAATAGTTTCTCTACACCGTTTGGGAAAGCCTGAGTTTTAGGCTGCGCACAAACATGACTTAGATCCGCTTGGGCTTCGACGGCCTAGCAGTTGGGGCGCCTACTAAGTAATAATCTCCCACTGCTCTTCATTGAGCGAATAGTCCAGAAACATGTGGAAGAATGGCTGCTATGGCCCATTTAAGACACTAAGAATCTAGTCTGAATGATGTGTATATTAATAGTAACATTGAAGGATGGTGAAGACACCTTGGGATTCGTCCCCTCTAAATGTAAATGTATTCAACAATCAATATCCAGACAACTACCTACAGACAACTAACTACAATGAAAGAGGGCGGGGTTAAGAAACCCCTCCTATCCATGTATTCCGTGGGATCTGCCAGTGACTATTGAACTCCAAGAGTTCAGTCACCAACTTATCAGGACTCGCACGAGAACTGGGAGTTTGATTTGTATTCGGACCTTCGAAGGCCTCAACAACTGGTGTTGATGTCTTTCGAGGACCACCCTCTGCGCTGGCTCGGTGGGCTACGGTGAGACAGGGAGGATTGGGAAGAAGAAGAGAAGAGGAAGAAAGGTGGGAGGAATCCTTTTATACTCTCACGTACCTTCCTAAAATGGATGGGTCCTTTGCTCTTGCCAATTTTATCTTTCAGGGTCACAGGCCAGCGAAGTACATTTATTCTGACAAGCAGTTCTTATTGTTCCCTTAGCCTTGAACCAATGAACTCGGTACCATTCGCCACTGATCTCCCACCCTGAATCCCTCTGGAAAAGGGTCACTCGAATCGAGAACTATTTGTTTGAAACTAGTTATCCAAGCCCTTCCAGCAACAGTCGGGAGAACAGCCTGATACCCGCCAACTTGTGTAATTCCACGAATATGGCTGGTGAACTCAGTGCCAATAATACTGCGATGTTTGAAAACTTCCCCCTCCGCCAACTGACCTCTCGAGTGCAGAACAGCGAGTCGAGCACATGTGCCAGTACCACAAGGACTGCGATCAAAACGCCCCGGTGAGACGACAACAGTGTTGGTGGCAACTTTGCAACCATCCTCCTGTGTGAGAGGCTCCGTGAACTCCAGAATACTGACTCCGTTGATTCTAGGATTCTCGGGGTGAACAGGGGTGTAGGAGGCTTGGACTGCACGTTTGATACGCTCACCAATCTCAACTAGCTGGGTGCTATACTGAGATTCGATTTTCAGTCCCACGGAAGCTGCATCCACGAGCACGTACATCATCCCTCCCCAGGCAATATCAACGGAGACCTCCCCAAGGCCGGGGACTGCCACTTGATAGTCCAGTTTGAATACAAAAGCGGGTACATTGTCAAATGCCACGTTCTTACATTTCCCAGCTTCGCATTCTGCCTTCACGGTGACCAGACCGGCGGCGGTGTCCAGGGTCAGTTCGGTGATGGGCTCTTTCATTGGAACCATGCCGGTCTCCAATAGCACGGTAGTGGTGCAGATTGTATTGGAGCCCGACATAGGCGCGTATTCTTCGCTTTCCATGATCAAGAACCCGGCATCGGCTCGTGGGTCACAAGGAGGTAGAATCAAATTTGTGTTCATTGAGCACCGGCCTCGAGGTTCGTTGAGTAAAAGCTGACGTATGTCGTCTTTTTCATTCAAAAAGTGAACCAGCTTGTCGTACATTGTACTGCCAGGGACGTCGAGTACTCCACCAGTAATCACGTCGCCGACTTCGCCTTCGGCGTGGCATCCAACGACTGATAATGTACGTGAAAAGGGCATGATATTCGGTTGGCTTGTGAGTATTGTTTTGCAAGAGGAAAAATCAAAGAGTTGATTTTAACTAGAACTTCGAATTGACTTGGAAGACGAGATCCCCACGTTGTTTCGGGGCATAAATAGACCAGTCGCAAGAAATTGAGCAAAGCCCGCAAGTCATTTAACTTAAAATATGTGGTGTGTTCTACGCATAATTGCTTTTGACGTACTTTTTGAAACGAAAAATCTACTTTGTATCTTGACGCTGGAAGCGCTGAATTTCCCAATGGCCAGCTAGTCATGATTATAGAGATACAAAATTCAATTCTGAGATTATGATAGGACAATGCTGTGATTGTGATAGATCAGCAGACTTATCTACACATATGGAACAGATGGCTCAGGCCCTGATGAGATAAATTTGCCAACATCGTGGGATACATAACTTTAACTTGCATATTTTTCTTTGCCTCCAAGACTCTTCTCGCCATTAACCGAGTAGCCCTGCCAATCGGATGACCGTTGTACTATTCCAAGGTCATCTAGATGTTTACTTTATCAAAGGCGCAAAATGAGGTGTGATGAATCGAGTCCACCTGTACCGCACGTAAATTGGCGAAATTGTCGAGACTATGCTTGCCCATCCTATATACAGGACTATGGAAAAACAAGTGCTAGCTATATAACTGGGCTTTTCTTTATGCATAATGTACGATCATGGGACGGAAAAGGAAGGAGATGACTTTAAGAGAAGTGAAGCGTTTGGAAGATCACGGGGACACCACATTCTGGGGAAAGATCATCAACACAGAATAAAGATCTTTTTGAATAAAAGAGAAGTTCTTGATTCGCTAGATAGATATGTTATAATATTGGGAAATGAATATGCCTCCTCTTCGATCACTGCAAATCTGCCTTCAGCATGATTTAGATTAAAGATAGGACAGTTATGAAGTGTTTCCCTCTCTATTATTTCAATTCCTAAAATCTGAAGAGAATCCAATGTTCATTCATTGTTGGAAAACAAAATGCGGCGGATATTCGGCCAGTAAGTCCATACTAGAGTTGTAAGAACAGTAGTTGGTATAGCAAAGACCCAGTAAACCCAGAACTTGTCCGACATAGTCCAGCCGGAATCCCCGCCGAAATCAAAAAATGACATGCTGAAGATAGCGCATATGAAAGTAGGAGGAAGAAACGTAAGTGTAACAAAGGCGATCGTTTTCATCGTGGCACTATCCATTTGAGTTGCCCGACCAATTTCCAGGGTAATTCCAGCATCATGCTGAGCCACAGTATTAAAGGACAGTTGGATTTCATTTTGTAATCTCTTCTCATTTGAATTGGACCGATATCGTAGGCTGGTGATGAAAGACTGCCAGGATCGCAAACGAAAGCGAATGTCTTCAGATGTAGCAGGGTCATTATCTGGGTTCGAGTTTGTATAGTTCTCGTGTTGCATCAAGATGTGCTCTATATTTTGCGAGGCAACGTCGAGCGTCTCGTTCACATGAATAGCATGTCTAGCGAGGTCGTGAAGTTGTCTGTAATCGGGTTGCGGTCTTCCTTCTGGTTTTCCCTCTGTCTCCATTGCTCGGACATGATCTCGGATAGCCCATACGGAGGGCTCCTCAAACAGCGCAATCAGCTCGATCAAATATGGATAGATCCAAAATGGATCGCTGAGCCAGCTTTCATTCGGTTTCATCACTGCTCTCAGGAAACGTTCTTTGACGGGTGAGTCGAGATCGAAGGCGAGAATCACAGTTTGATTGGTTGAGGGTAGCCACCGCGTGAAGATATTTGTATGATACCATTTGAACTTGGCACTATTATGGTCTACCTTTTTCACGGCAAATTTAGACCAGGTATCTAGAGAATTAGTGTTGGTTGACCATTCATATTCAGCGTACTTACTGAACCCAGTGGTGACTCCGGAATCTCGTGTCTTTTCACATCCAAAGTTGCCGTTTCCCTGACGGAAATGATATGACCACCAAAAATGAGGCATACAAAATGCATTGGCGAAGGTTTGTCGACATTGTGAGCATCCCTGAATATCGGAAGAATCGGCCACGCTTTTTCAATTAGAGAGTGTGTCTTAGTGTGGGCAGTTTCACGCACATAATACATATTTTAGACCAAGCAGGAATGGTATTAGAGAGGTCGCTTGGGTCTTCAAGGTGAAAGTTAGCCCGTCGAGTTTGTCGCCAATCGCTTCCATCTGCGTTCCGCTGCAATATTAGCAGATCGGCACAGTGTCGGCTCTTTTGCTCCTCCATTTCCTTTAGATGAGAGCTCTAGCTCAGAATATTTCGAGGTTGTTTTAGAGATGAAAGAGCAAATCTCACTGAGTGGGGGAATTGAGAGAGGGGCCGTGCTCCTCAGCCTCAAAATTGCAGTGAAACAGATTCAATTCGAATTGACTGGTGAATTTATATTGGAGCCTTTACCCGAAATCGCGTATTTTACTCTGATCAGTGAAACTCATCCACTGTTGGCGGCCCAATATATTTCTCATACCCCCAAGCCCAGTACCATCCAGAAGCAATTATTATAAACGCAACAAACACCACTGGTGCATAGTTGACCGTATTTGCAGTCACAGGGATTGAAGAAGGCATGCAAAATAATGGAATGACAAGAATACTCCATCCTAAAAACGAATAAGCGATTAGCGATGGCGATAAATCGCTAGTCCGCTCGTACTTACCCAGTGCCACAATATTGCAAACCAACCCGAGGGAGCCAAGGTTAAATTGCCCATTTTTTATGTGTCTTCGGCCTCCAACAAGAGATACAACGATTGGGCATGCATAGCTGACAGTCAATGTAATAACTCCGACGCCAGTGAAAGCGTTGAAAGCAGTAGTTGACCCGAAGTAAATAAATCCGAGCAATATTTGAACAACCATGCCGAGCATCATAGCATTGAAAGGTACGCCATCTCTATTTACCTGCCTCCACCATATGGAGCCTGGTATACCCCCATCGCGAGCAAATGCCCATGTGCTTCGGGAGACAGCCGTAGTGCAGCCTATAACACAAAACAGAGCGAGCACTACCAACGGTAGGAGAAGCAGGAATGACCCAATTGGGCTTCCAATGGCGGACTTGATAATACTCGGAACTGGTTGGCCGGATTCGAGAGCGGCTAAAACCTTCGTGTCGGGGAGCACGAAAACCAATGGGATAAGGAAGAGGAATCCGGCCAGGGTGTTTATAATGACCGCTCCAACCATTGCTTTTGGAACTTGTGTTGATGGTTGCTGAACTTCTTCACACATACTTTGACGGGTTAGTTAGTATTTTGATTAGAGGGAATGAGACGGGAGATGTCCCTTTGGGAGTGAAAATCAAATATGTCACCTACCAAATCACCATACCAGTGGAGGAAGTGCTATAAGCTGCCTGCAGAAGTCCGACGCAAAAGGACCAGCCTGGTGGCCAACCAGATTCGGGCTTAAAACTAGTGAAAACATACTCGGCGTCATGTCTACCCTCTTTCGCAATCGCAAGAACACATATTATAATAGCCAACAATCCTGCAAGCGTCCAGAATATTGCGAATGTCTGGGTCCTGTATTAGCAGGGTGGTGTTGTCGCAGGGGTTGTCAGACATACATCAAGATAAGGTAGCCATTTGTTCCCAAAGGCCGATACTGCGTTAGCAAAGAATGTGACTGCGAGAAATATGAGAAAAACTTGGTATGTTTCCGCTTGGAAGATTCCCACCCCTGGAGCGGATTCGAAGACGTTGATACACGAGACGAAGAAAAGGGTACTCCCAAGGTTGACTGCAAGTGTGATGGTGATATTTCCAACAACATATGACCATCCGCAAATCCACGAGGCAATCCTTCGATATGACGGCGGAGACAGCATAAAAGTCTGGTAGTAGACTCCTCCGGCAGTTGGATAGACCGAGGTTATTTCGCCAAGTGAGGCAGCCACACATAGAGTAATTAAAGAGACGACAAGCCATCCCCAGATTATATTGACAGGGCCTCCTCCAATAAGAGGGTAGATGAAAGTTGTAGCCAGTCCATATGGTATCGCTGCCAGTACAAAGGACATGAAAGCTATTTGAAGTGTGGAGCGGTTTCGAACGAGCTCGGGCTCGTATCCCAGGGCCTCTAGTACCCCATTTGCTGAAGTCTGCTTGCCTTCCTCAATGCTGGGAAATTCTGCAGGTGGATCGGGCTCCGAGCCTTTGTTCTTCGAGGAACAATGCTGGTGAGTGGTGACTTCGTCTGCCATGATGTTTGGCAAGATCGCGACGAGTAACGAAATAGTGGAGAGGTCCCTGAGACTCAAAGATATCGGTGAAGGGTGGCTAATGAGGCTAAATTGCAGGGCGCCTGATCTTAGGTATACACCGATGCTGTTGAATCCCACACCTACAAAGGAAGTTTTGGATGTAATGAACAGATGTAATAAACGCTGGGATGTTCGGGCTGTTTATTACTTATTCCAGCGAGGGGAACCCCGTACCTAGGCTAACCTTCTGTTGACCTCATAAAAGCTTGAGTGCATTGACCAGTGAAGACGAAGGTTACTCAAATCGCTATCCCATATCTCTCTGGGGCATGTTCCTAGGGTATCCACCAGGTGGAGAAACGGATTCTCGCCGAGATAACGTCTGACAGGAAATTTTGATGATCTAGGCAACCACATACGTAAAGATAAAACTAGCAGAAAGATTGCACAGACAATATGCCTAGTCTGAAACAAAGACGATCCTCTCCGTATTAGAAGTTTGACTGTTTTAGGGAATCACACTAGTACTAAGTAGGTTAGAGTTTCAAAGCTAATGCATGGCGGCTACGCTATACCAAATATGGCTATGTTCCCAGTGCCAGGTGGGTCCTGGGGGTCTGGAGTTCCCTTTCGAGCCCTCTAGGATTTGAGCATGGTATGGTGAGATACGAGCATAAAATAATATTGATTGGGTTAGAGACCTATAGTAATTAATTGACACAGCTCAGTAGTTTTCATAAAAGAATTCCTCAATATGGAACCCCTAATAGGCCATGATTGTAATATGTCTGGATATCCGTGCAAATTTCCCCTCATAACCTGTAGAAAGTTAAGATGAGAGACTTCTCCACATATATGATGTCATAACAGGCATGGTGCGGAGAGAAATCGATTCAGAAATGATTTGCCATTGCGAGTTGGGAGTTGGAACATGGTCTTTGGTTTTTATCAGCTAAGTCGAATGGTGGAAGGACCCTCTCCAAATGATTGTGTCAGAATCTGTTCAGTTTCGAAAAAATTATATCAACTCCAACTTACACATATACCCAAACCATGTCTTCAAGAGCTCTTGTATTTATCCAGGCTTGCGCTACCCGCCTAGTGAGGCGTACGTCTGCTTCAACCTTGGGCACACTGATGACCTAAGGGTCAAGATTTCTCAAATGAGAATTTCCTTGCAAATGCTTGACGTTCTGGGTCACGCTGTATATGAAAAAGGACGCTAGCTCGCATTAAGAAAACGAACCCTCACAGCGTATTGTTGATCCTTTTTTGGATTAGCGGGAAAATGCGGGGAGGTGTTGCCGCCTGAGAAGACCTCAACAATTTTACTTCTTGGAAACCAATCGGGAGGAATCTCGAGCAGAGGGTGAGGTGTTTCTTATCGGCAGGTGATCGGATCCCGGTTCATGCACCGGTCTTCGAATCCTTTGATCGGATTCTCATCCGATGCCCCGCCTTCTCAGACTGGTGCCTCCCCCCTCTCCCAGCGAAACAGCATTATATCTTTGATTTAGGTATAATGGAAAGCAAAGAGAGATTGAATTCTCCGCAGAAGAAAAGGCAGAATCCCAACCGGTGCCGACCAAAATCAAGAGGGGGCTGCCAAAGGTGCAAGCAGCGGCGAGTAAGTCGAGGTGAAAGATATACAGTTTCTCCTTCGTCTACGAAGGCCCCTTGAATTCCAAATAATTAATACTTATTCAGCGCAGATGTGATGAAGCCAAGCCAAGTTGCCAGGAATGTACCAAGCGAGGACACACATGTCCTGGTTACCAAAAACAGAGCTTGCAATGGCGATATGTTTACAAAGCCAGCGAAGAGCTAAGCCAGCCAACACCACCGATTGAGTCTCCTGGCACGGTTGCGACCGAATTCGAGTTTTCTGAGGCGAGTAATCCAACACAGGAGGGAAAAGATAATCTTCAGAATGAAACCAAGAACATTTGGGATACGACATGCCCAAACCTCTTCGACCAACTGCCGGATTTTGATGAGCCCACAGATGCATGGTTCTACACCGAGTCGGGATTTAATGGTACGGTTTCAGCCAAGCCTGATGGCGAGCTGGATGGGTTATCAATTTTGCGTCAACGACTGGCCAACACATCCGTCCCCTCCTTTCTCATCCAGCTACCAGTGATGCTGGTGCAATATTACTTCCACACGGTCTGTAACCAATGGTCATCCTTTGACTGTCCTCTCAATCCTTTCAGAACTATTATCAGCCGGCTCTGGAGTCGAAATGCAGCCATTTACTTTGCCATCCAGAGCATGTCAGCTGCCTCGTTGGCCAACGATTTTCCAACGATGCGAGCCATCGGAATGCAAACACAACAACAGGCAATTGCATGCCTGAATAACAGTGTCCAAAAGGGTTCCAACTTCACTCAGGCAAAAGATGATGAGTACTTTCTGGCACTGCTCATGATTGGGTCCACCACTGGGTGGCACGATGCTTCTGATTTGGGGCTTCCGTATCTGAGAGCGGCCCAAGACCATCTTCTGAGGCAAGAAAGCCAATGCAAGAATGCGAACTCTGCCATCGCAAAACAACATCCGCTTTTCAAACAGTGCCTCCTTTGGTGGAACTTACTAGCTGCCTTTGTGGCAGAGGAGTCGCCCATCCTCGACATAGAAGACTCTATAGAAAACAGCGACACGGATTTTTCAGTCTATCTTGTCGATGGGGAGATCCTACCGCATCCATGGACAGGGTCTCTCAGGTACTCATTGAATCTCTTCTATCGAACTGCAAGAGTGATTCGAGCGGCAAGAACCTCCCACCGCCGAAGGCCACAGTCTCTAGATTCTACCTTAATTGACTTGAGCTCCATGGCTGAAGAACTCGATCTCAGACAGAAAGCTGAACATCTCGAGGACAGAATTCTGTTCAGCGGGTTCTCATTCTATTGTGGGCCTGTCGATATCGGGGATACAAACACGCCACCGTCCCATTTCCTTACGTTGGCCGAAGCATATCGCTGTACAGCACTATTGCAGATTTACCATGTTTTCCCGGACATTCTTGAAGAGCGGCTACTAAGTAATCAAAATGCGGATGGCGAACGCCCTATTCCGGCCCTATTTTCGTTGTTATTCCCGACTATTGCCACCGAATGGTCATCGCGCTCGGTGGAAGACGCACGCCACACCCTGGCACTGCACATTGTATCCCTCTTGGAGCAGCTTCCTTCGACGTCTGGAACGAAGGTTATGCAGCCCATAATTTTGGCTTGCATCTCCAGCGATCTTGTTTTCTCGTCTAGGTCTGTGTTAGGCGCTGCGCAAAATACGATCCCTAGTCTGGATATGCTGGACGTTGATATTGCTCAGGCCAGACGAAAAGTCAAAATGCGGTTGTCTGAACTTATCTTAATCCTACCAAAACTTCCAATGCAACGTATTTATAACGTTGTACACGAGTCCTGGGACCGTGCAGACTCTGGTTTAGAAGAGTTCTGGCTGGATGTTATGCTGGATTTAAATTTGGAAACGATTATGGGATAGGCTTAGTATTGAATCTTGCCCCTCTGGCCAATGTCGCTATCTGTTCATAAACCCGTTCAACTAAATCCATTCGATAAAATTGCCTCGAAGAATTGCTCTAATTTTGTGGTTTACTATCCCATAAATGTCACTTTATAAACGCTAGTGAGAGCCATGTCAAACGAAATTTTACCGGACGAATGGCTCATGAGGCCGTTCGAGGAGATGCTATAGGGGGACCTTCGGGCGTATTCGGTGGGAATAATATCCCTAGAAGTTAGTTTTAGGTACTTGTTAGTGGATTCTATGATATATCTCTTTAGTAGCTACAGGGATAATACACTGTGGTAACCTCTAGTGTATTCTTCAGCCACCATTAGATCAAATACATATGGCGATGTAAGACTTAACCCCTCGCAATCGGGCATATTTGAGTGCCTAGCCCATGACTTATGCTTATCCGCAACTCGTCTCCCGGCTGCAGGAACTGCGGCGGGCTCTGTGAGATACCAATACCACAAGGTGTTCCGGTGATGATGACGGTCCCGGGCAGTAATGTGTGGCCCTAATATTTAGAATTAGTTATATTTGCTTGAAACATGTGAGATCATTCCGTACCTGAGAAACATATGACACAATTTCTGGTATGCTGAAGATCATGTCATCGGCGGATCCATTCTGCATGATCTTTCCATTGAGGCGGGTCTTCAGATTCAAAACCGAGGCATCGGGAATTTGTTCTGTAGACACGATACATGGACCAAGTGGGCAAAAGCCATCCTGATTGAGGTTAATTGAGGGGTTCATCTTGGACATCGGCTATATCGACATACCATTCCCTTTGCATAAGACCACTGTGATGTCTTCTCTTGATGTTTGCGAGCTGTCACATCATTGGCGACTGCGTAGCCCAGAACGTAGTCTGCTGCTTCAGCTACTGAAACATTCTTGCATTTTCTGCCGATGACTATCGCTAACTCAACTTCATAGTCTGCTTCATCGTAATCCACATTGGAGGGAAGTATAATGGGCTCGGATGCAGATGCAATGCATGTGCTAGCTTTCAGAAAAACACTACACAATATCAGCAAGTGTCAGAAGCAGAAGTAGATATATTTACGTTGGCGTGTTTGGAAGAGTCAGCTTCATCTCGGCTGCGTGCTCTTTGTAGTTTAGGCCGACGCATCGAACTGTCCCAGCTTCGATTTGCGAGACTGGGGATAGGAGTTTATCAATGGCTTTGATTTCACCCGTAAATGAAGTATCATAATCAAATGCCGAGTTACCAGCCACGACTTTGACTAAGACTTCGACATTCTTTTCTATGGCCTGGCCCACTATGAGTTTGTCAGTACGGGATGGACTTTAGTGATCTTGGGTATACAATACCGTCAATATCCGGGTTCACCGGCTCTCCGCCATATATTTTACCATCTTCCGCTCTAAAGCGGACCCATCGCTTCCAGACCTGTAGTACATTAGATCATGTACTCTAAGATGTTCTTGGCGAGGCACATACTGGGTGTTTTGGGCTATCTTTGAAATCCATCCCATTGAAGTTTGAAACTCCCATTTTGAGAGATAGTAAGAGATAGTGACATAAAAGGTTTTCGAACAATAAAAAGTGCGAGTGCACTTTGTCTACTTATCCCCCAATAATCCTATCGGGAAATTGATCGGGAAATTTGTAGATAAGATAAGTCAAAGTTTGTTATTTGCCGACGCCAAGACAATAAAATGCGGGGAAACCAATTTGGGGGAAAGATAGGGCTGTATGTCCCGTGATAGCTGATATACATTGTAAGTGTGAGAAAATGAAACAATCGAGGTAGTTAAAATGATGATAATTTGGGGGATATAAGCCAATATGCCATTTTAAGCTTAAAATGCCCAGGAGATTACGAGCTAATGCAAGAAAAGCCTTCACCACCGGCTTATCCCCCAGCTTATCTGTGACACAGACTTTGATTGGTCACGGCCTAAATGGTTCGGGAAATCCTTCCCGCCAAGTTTTCGAATAAACCGATTTGCCGATTGATAACGCTTGTATAATTTCCGTCCACAGGTGTATATAAGAATAGATGGGAATGGACCCAACTTACGATAAATTTACATTCAAAATGAAGGAGATAGATATCAAAACCGACATATCATCGGATCACGATGTTCAGATGGGCAACTTTGTAGTTGACCCCGTCCGAGAAAGAAAACTACTATGGAAACTTGATCTCTGCATTTGTCCTTTGGTGATGCTCATTTTCTTGGTTGCATATCTTGATCGAAGCAACTTGGGGTAAGCTTTCCATCCACACATCAAGAGTTCCTATCGCTAACTCCTGGCTAGAAATGCAGCTGTTGCTGGAATGCCGGTAAAGTTGAATTCACGCTTTGTGACACAACGGGTTACTGACTCCCCTCTTACAGGAAGATATTGGTCTAGTTGGCAATGAACTAGGAAGTGAGATCATGCCCTGCCCAGTATTCGAAGCTATAGCTAACAATACCAAACCAGATGCCGTGTCGTTGTTTTACGCAACCTACGTCTTCTTTGAGATCCCGTTCTCTATGCTCCTCAAGAAATTACGCCCAAACAGACTTATCTCGGCATTGATCATTGGCTTCAGTGCATCCATCTTGGCTGCTGGATTTATCAAGAATGTTGCCGGGCTTTATATCACCAGACTCTTTCTTGGTGTCTTTGAGAGTGGCTTATTTCCGTGAGACTACCCGCTGCCTTGATAAGAATATCCTGGATAGAAACTAATCATTGCGCAGATGCTTGACTGTCCTCTTGACCACCTTTTACAAGCGCGAGGAACAGGCACAGAGAATTTCGTATCTGTTCGTCTCCGCTGCTCTGAGTGGAGGCTTCGGTGGATTGTATGCGCAACTCTCCCTATTCTATCAAACAAATCCGAACAACGGTAACTAATATGGATTTTAGACTCGCCTTCGGACTGGTTCGTCTAGATGGTGCCGCCGGCCTTGAAGGCTGGAGATGGCTTTTCATCGTGGAAGGCATCATGAGTGCCGTCGTTGGTATCGCCACGTTCTTCCTCCTTCCAAACGACTTCGAAACTGCTTACTTCTTGAATAAAGAAGATAAAGAGCTGATGCGCATGCGCATGCAACAGTCGGCACGGTACGCTGAAACTGAAGAATTTGATATAAAGGAAGTGTGGAAAACACTAAGAGACCCCAAGAGCTGGCTCACCTCCTTCAACCAAATTTGTGTCAACACTTGTTCCTTCGGGTTCAGCACCTTCCTACCTACTATTATCCGAGGTTTTGGGTTTGATTCGGTCAAGACACAACTTCTCACTGTTCCCGTATACATCTGGGCCTCTGCATTTTACCTGGTCGTTGCCCATTTCTCCGACAGAGTGCGCATGCGAGCTGCCTTCATGGTCCCGCTATGTCTGGTGACAGCTGTTGGATATGCCATGCTGTTGGGAGTGGATGTCCAGGCGCGAGGTCCATTATATTTTGCGACATACGTGTGTGTCACTGGGTATGTGTTTTCCGCTGGTATATTTGTTGAGCAGTTGTTAATCTTCCTAGTATTTACGCTGTTGTTGGACTCGGAGTCAGTTGGAACGCCAACAGCCATTCTGGCTATTATAAGCGTGCCATGGGAGTAGGCCTCCAGCAGACTATTGGAAATTGCGCTGGTTTGATTGTGAGTGGAGTATCATATTAACGTGGTCTGTGGTACGTCAAGCTAACATATTCAAGGCTGGACAAATCTACAAGTCACCCGTAAATGGACGATATGTAGTTGGTCACTCTGTTTCCCTTGCTACTATCTGTCTGGCATTCTTTGGTAATGCTGGTATGTGGGCTTTGCTCCGTTACCACAATAAGAAACGAGACCAACTGTCGCCGGAGGAGAGGGAGCACATTATCAGCTCGGGTTCATATGAAAAGAAAGGCGGAGATTTCCATCCGGACTTCCGCTATATCCTGTGAATATTCCATCTTTTATACCAAATATTCAGATCAAATCATATAATAAGGGGGATATATAATCCAAAACTATCAACTATAGTACTAGAAGGATAATTGGACGTTTGTACGGCCATGTCAAGACATATTGGTAGTCATTTTAGATGTATTAAGTGTGATATGCAATTTCGGAGATCATTTGCTCCCAGGTTTCTAGATCAGCAGCCTGTGGGAATGCGAAGTTCTGATCTTCCCAGACTGCAGGCCACATCATATCGGGCGAAGAGTCAGGTGGGTGGCCGGCCGCTGCAATAGACTCAATATTCATAGGCGCCGGCATCACTGGGTTCCTTTCACGATCCTGTTCCATAAAGTCTGGCAATATTTCGGGTGAGCTCATTGGGGCCTGATCACCTGGCTGGTCGTTGGCTTGGGCGAGTCCAGTGGTACGGATTATACACAACTCTACCACTTTAACCTCCGCGAGACCAAACTCATTTAGCCAAACATCCTTCCGTAATCTTTCGCAATATTCCTCAAGATCGTTCAGGATTGCCGCAGTCTGGGGGGCAATGGGTCGGCGCACAGCGATAATACCCAGGATGAAAGCACTATTGAACATATTGTGGGTTCCTAGTGTCCACCTCATATTTTCTGAGGTTCCATAGTTCAAGGACTGCAATCTGATTTTCAGATCGGAAGATGCCGATGAGATGCATGCCTCGTGACTAAGACTGAAACGGTTTGTCATGGACTCGCGCAGAAGATAAGGTCGGTGCAAAGTGATTCTGGCAAAATGGAAAGCAGAGTGCAGATAGAGACGATGCCAAGGTAAATATGTATGCAACTCATCCAGTGAGAGGTCGGGATCTTCCACGGCAAAATAGGATGGGAGTTGCTCTTTCCAAGTAACAAGCTTGTTATCCATCTCGATTACCATATCGTACGATGCAGGATATAAACCAAAGCACCGATCTTGGATTTCGCCTGCAATTTTACCTAGACCACTGCCGAGAAGTGCGACTGTGCTCATTGTAGGATAGCTCAATGGATGAGATGTCGCAAGAGAGGACTCTTCATCAGTCAATCCATCCAGCCATACATTATCCGGTGCTTTGATAAGACACATATGATCCGAGATCGCGTATGGTCTGCCGAGAGCGAGAGCAATAGTCTTATCAAGCAAGTAAAGATTGCTCCAAATGCGTCTTCTGGTTTCAGTGGCTTTTCTCGACAACCCCCATTTTTCTCCATCTATGTGCATGCCTTGTGCTTGGGCCATGCGCATGGCAAAGCTGATAGTGAGCCAACTCTCTGCTGCTTGTCGAGTGTATAGCAGATATCGTGTAACCATCAAACCTGCTCTGACAAGATCTAAGCTCTCGCCGTGAAAAGAGGGTGAGATAACGATCGCTCTCCTGGCTGCCCAGTAGAAACGAAGAGAAGCTTCTTCGCTTTCTTTCCGCTTTTCGGGAGAAGAGGTCGTAGGACTGTCCAAAAGCACGCTAAAAGCGAGAATAATAAACAGGAGAGCAAGCCAGCGAAGATCTACTCCAGCAATTTCGTCGAATCCAAATTTTCGGCCCCAGAATTCTGCAAATTGAGCTCTGAAGGTGTCGGGATGAACCGTATCAATAGCCCAGTTGATCTCGGTCAGGAACTTTTCAATTAGACGATCAACAGTCACTTTATTCCGCGGTAAGAGACCAAGTAGATCCCAAACTTGGGAAAACGGCCCAGAGTCATTTCTAAATGATTGCAAAGAATCCTTGCTAGACAGCAAGCTCATAGGGGGTAGATCTGGAGCTGATTCCTGAATCATGCGCGCTGCCACCTGGTGACCAAAGTATGAATTACCGAAGAAGCTAGGTGCTCCCCGGGCAATATACAACTGCCCTAGCTCTGTGCCCTGGGTATCTGCTATAAAATTCGTTAGCCATGATCTATGTTTTTTGAGCAGGAATATCCGGTACCTGCTGTGCTCGCTCTTTCTGGTGCCATCTCATGGCCCTTCTCATTTTCGGGCCAATGACATAGTTAAGGAACACCACGCTGTATACAACGAGAACAAGGCAGTTCTCTGTCACATTTCTGCTTCCTAGCATGACATTGGGAACAGGAAGTTGGTTTTCTCCCCCGTTTCACTTTACGACGAGAGTCGAGCGCCACGTTATTCCTCTTTCTTCCATTGGCGCTCATTGTTGCAGTCCTAAACAGCGGGTACTCGGAAATTGTTGAGTAGAAAACCGAAAGGGAGTGACCCGAAGGTAATCTAACCAGTTAGTTAGCCGATGTATTTGCCTTAGGGATCAGGCTTGAGGTTCTAGTCAGTTAACTAATTAACTACCATGGAATTCATTTCTTTTTCCAATAGAAGAATTGGATTTATGTTATTGAACTTGATGATACTAGGCAGAAAGGCTACCGGTTGAGACAGTGCTTACATATCTCAGATGTAATGTTAGCAGTATATATAAAATGCCATGGGCTATTGCTTTCTAAAATTAGAAGGGAAATAGTAAATTCGAAAGCTGAAGATGACAAGAGCATGAAGTATGAAAGCTCTAACCCCTAGAGGGGAAGCGTTGATGCTGAGTCATCTGACGTCAAGCGCGTTGTTTACTTTTTGAGCTTCGATTTTGTCTCCCCACACCCTGTCTCAACCCATTTACCCCTGCTTCTTCTGCAATCTTCTGTTATCTATTGATTCCTTGCATTTGTGTTTTTAATCATGGCGGTCCGCCGTTCCGCGCGCATTCGTCGCGCCCAGAATTCCCCAGATGTGAGTAGCATAGTATCGCCTGTTGTGGGAGAGTCCTGGCAACCGTTGAAATTGAGGTAAACTAACTCCTATTGTTTTGTTCAGGTTGAAGACATGACCCCTCAGCCAGTCGCAGTTGCAGCTTCCAGACTTCCCTCTGTTACCGAACGCGAGGAACCTGACAGCTCCGAACTCCCACACATTCAAACCCCCCTTGCCAAAACTCCTTCTCAAAAAACTCCTCTCGCGTCTGCTCAGAAAAAGCGCACTAGTATGAGGACCCCCACTAGTGTGACCGCGCCTCGTCCATCCCGCGAAGAAATGCACCCCAGCAAGGCGCAGCAGAGCACGACCAAGCACGCAGATTCAGGCCTCCTCCTTGGATTCAATCCGATCAAGAAAGATGCCAATGGCAATGTAGTCAAGCATAGCATCAGTGACAACACCCCGACCAAATCCAAGGCGTCTCCCGCGACAGACCAGTTTGGGACCCCAGGATTCGAATACAAGTTTCACTCCCAGGAGATGGAACTCAGCGACGAGGCCAAACAGCTCATGGAAAGCGTCCGTGCCGACGCTGCTCGCATCAAGGCGCAAATGGTCGAGAGCGGATCAAAGCAAGAAAATGAAGATCACGGGGCCGAACAAATTCATGGAGACCGGAAGATCGCCATGCCAAAGGGCAAGGCCAACCGCTTCAGCGACATCCACATGGCCGAATTCAGAAAGATGGACTCCATCGCTGGTCACGCTTCATCTTTCCGCGCTACTCCTGGTCGCTTCCAGCCTGTTACCAAGTCCTTGAAGCGGTCCAAGTCCAAGGCGCAGCTTGACGAGCCAGAGAGCCAGAACTCGTCACCTCGCTCTGCCACCAAGACCTCAAACCTGTCTGCTCCCACCGCCGCTACAACAGCTAAGCGTGTCAAGCGTGATCAAAGCGAAGATACATCCACTCGTCATGAATCTCTGAAGGATCAAACACAGAAGGTCGAAACTCCTCGCCGACCCGCAGGTCCTCGCCCTCGCCCTCGCACAGGCGTTCGCAGTTCCCTCATGACTCCTACGCATGCTTCTCTCGCTCGTACGACCTCTACCAGCATCAAGGCGCCTAAGACCTCAATGATTCCATCCTTGAAATTCTCTCCGGCTGCCAAAACCATGGCCTCGCCTCGAACTCCTCGCACTGATTTTAACCCACGCCTCAAGAACAAATTGCCCACCCTTGGTAACCTTAGGTCTATTCTTCGTCGGCGCCAGCCACTCTTCTCCCGTGACCCTGCCAAAATCGCGTCTGGAACTCATGTTGCGGCGCCAGATTTCAATCCCAACTCACTCTTTGGAGGAGCTGGCGATGTGAGCGACTCTGCTCCAACCCCTTCGCCGAAGAAGCACGTTGAATTCACTCCGAGTGTCAAGTCTCGTCATGAACTTGCTGTCGCTTCACCCTCTCCTTCCAAGGCACCTTCCGCTCAGCGTCGTTCTATGACCGGAGATGTGGTCTATCCTACTCTCCCGGCTCTCACTCCCGAGAAGAAGTCAACTGTCTTACCTTCCAATACTTCTACCTCTGGATTCAAGTCCATTCGTCATGTTCGGAAATCGAATGCCGGTGAACAGTCCGCTCCGGAGCTTCCTGTGGTAGCTCATGGCATTGCTCATGGCATTACCAATAAAAAGAGGCACCGCGATGAAGTCAATGACGAGGATGCTCCCAGGACCGCAAATAGTGAGAACCTGCCGCCTACCGATGTGCGGTCTGATGAGCGCAACACCAAGAGGTTCAAGTCCAACCCGCCTACTCCAAGCCCGGTTAAGAAACGTCTTACCAAGACTCCTGTGCGTCCTTCTTCTGGCAAAGTTGGCACTCCCGCTAGCACGCAAAAGAGTCGTAGTGTTCTCAGCATGAGCCGTCTAAACATGCTTTCGAAGCCGAAAGGACATGCCTAAATACACAATGACCTGGTGGGCACACGCCTGGCGCGTTAGGCCGCGTCTCTGATGAATTGTTGTTTTTTCTTTTTCAGCCTTATGATCAACCCAGTATCCGGTTTTTGTTACTGCCTTTTTTTTCCTGGACCATGGCAGTCCAGCCTACGCTGCAGTAATGCTCTCCTGCAGTGTCAACGAACCAACATTTCCATTCTTGATTTGTATCTACACTTAACATTTTTGGGGGCCTTCGGACCCTCCCCGCCTTACGGAATATCTTCTTTTCGTGTCTGGTGTTTTTGCTCTCTCTTGCCTGTTTCTCAGGGAGTCCCTTTTGTGGGAAATATGGCGTTTGCAGTTATGCTTTCGGGCTATTGCCGTTGGAGGATGCCACGGTATTTTCATTTCTGTGTGTGTATTGTTATTAAACAAATTTCAATTCAATTCAATGTTCTGTGATAAAGAAATAGTAGGCGATAGATACGTGTAGTCAGTTGTATGCTTTCTAGGCTATTAATATCACTAACTATAGTGACCGAGCCGCTATTTTACGCCATCTTTGATTTACAAAAAAGAGATATCAAGGTTGTGGATGAATCAAGGGATTTGCTATGTACAACATACAGGAATTAGAATCTCCATCCATCGTAGGGAGAGATCAAAAAAGCTAGCAATACATGAAGGGTTCGAAGAATGATAGAAAGAACGAGCAGAAATCAGAGGGCCTTCCCAGCGGTAGAACAGATACGAAATAAGCGATTATGCTCCGGTCTGCCGTGTAGACAAGAGCCTCCATGGTATAGGACGGAGAATGGTACAGTGACATTAAGCATGACAATCATTTGGGGGTTGTGAGGATATGGGGTAGTTTTCGGGGGTTGAGTCGAAGAGGCGTAAAGATGTGAATAAAACGCAGGGGAACGGGAAATGGTAGATATGCAGTCGACTTGCATGGAAAGAGAGGTAGACATCGAGCCTGGATTGCTCGATTCGGGGATGTGCGGCGCAGTATCAGTTTTTCATGGTTTCCAGGAACGAATCCAGGTTGTATTCTTCCTGGTACTGGCGATCATCCCAGAGCTCGCCCAGATCGTCGAGCCAGCCCTTCTTGCCCTTCTCCTTGACCTCGCCGTCAATATCGACCATGTCGACTTCATTGCCGGCTGTATCGCTTGGCTTCTCGGCTGTTTCTGCCGTTTCGCCGAGATTGAACAAGTCAAGCAGTTGGTCCGTGTCCATTGTTCCAAGCCCGGCGTTCTGTTGATTGACCACGGTAGAGGCGACGTCGATCTTGAATCGTTGCAAGCTGTGATGGGTTTATGTTAGTCTTTGTACATCTGTGGAGTTCATGTGGAATAATAACTTACTTCAGGATCTTCTCCTCCAGGGTGCCTCGCGTGATCAGGCGGTACACGTTGACAACCTTCTTTTGTCCGATACGATGGGCACGATCCATAGCCTGGATATCTTTCTGCGGGTTCCAGTCATGCTCCACGAAAATGACGGTGTCTGCACCAGTAAGGTTGAGACCCAATCCACCAACACTGGTGGTCAGGAGTAGAACGTCGTAACTGGGATCGGTGTTGAATCGGTTAACGATGTCCTGGCGCTTGGTTGCTTCCACGCCTCCATCCAGGCGAAGGTATTGAACGGAGGGGAGGAGTTTCTTAAGGACATCGTTCTGCACAATGTCTAACATCTCCTTCATCTGACAGAACACAAGGGCTCTGTGGGGGCTGACATAGCTTGCGCCTGTATCGAGTTCGCCCTCTGCAGTGTGATCAAGGCCAATGCCGCAATCCACTAGCAAATCTTTCAGGGCATTTAGCTTGGGCGCGTGGGAAAGATCTCTGATGTTCGAACGCTTGGCATTCAAGAATGACTGCACCTCGTTGTACTGCTTGTGGCCTTCTTTGACAACCAAGGCAGGAGAGTTACATAGACGTCGCATGTATTGAAGCGCCTGGAAGATATGCTCTTTATCGCCTCGGTCTGCGCTGCCCACCTTGTCTGCCAGCTCCTTCTGCTCCTTCTTGGAGAAGTCCTCGAACAGTTTCTTCTGGAGCTCACTGGGATCGCAGTAGTAGTTCTGGATAATCTTGGGTGGGAGGTCATTCAAGACTTCCTCTTTCAGACGACGGAGTAGGAATGGCAAGACCTGTTTGTGCAGTGCCTCGATTGCTAAAGCACCAGCCTCCTGCTCCTTGGAAGAGGATTTGCTGAAACGGCTCGCTGCAATGGGCTTGGCAAACCGATCCAAGAAGACCTTCTCTGTTCCCAAGAAACCGGGCATCAAGAAGTCAAACAGCGACCATAGTTCGAGGACGTTGTTCTGGATTGGAGTACCAGACAAGATCAGACGGTGGTTGCTGGCTAACTTTTTGACCGAAGACGTGATCTTGGCCTTGGGGTTCTTGATCAGATGGCCCTCGTCGAGCACACAGTAGTTGAAATTGATAGGGCAGAGAATGTCGTTGTCGTTGCGGCAAACATCGTAGGAAGTTACAATAACATCTGTGGTGGCCAGCAGGGGTTGAAGTCTCGACCGTTCGGCGGGAGGGCCGACATATGCAATGCAACTGAGGAATGGAGCATACTGTTTGACTTCCTGCTGCCAGTGTCCAGAGAGTGACGGCGGACAGACAATCAAGGAAGGCAGTTTTCGAGAGTCTGTCGATTGGCTCTTGGCGAACTCCTCCGCTCGCATATGATGGTCACTTGCCACGATGCAGATTGTCTGCAGGGTCTTTCCAAGACCCATGTCGTCGCAAAGAATACCATGGAGGTTGTAACGATTGAGGAAAGCAAGCCAATTGACACCATCTTGCTGGTAAGGTCGGAGCTCAGCCTTGATCGCGACTGGAATTTCGAATGGCTCAACCTTACGGACGTCCAGCATCTGGGACATGAACTTCCTTTCTCGGTCACGGCCCTCGAGCAACTCTGCTGAGAAGCCAGGGGGGTCGGGAATACCGGCCTCCAGGGGAACCAGTTTAACAAGGGTGGCGAATGATGTCGTTGCTAGAAGACGAACGTCGTTGTCGGAGTCGCTCATTCGGCCAAGGACAGGAACCACCAGGAATATGACATAGGGGAGAATTCTGTCTTCCATAACGTGGATCAGGTGGTAAATGCACTCAATGGCACCTTGGCGGTGATTGACATCTAGCCCATTGTTAATAATTGGTAAGACCTTTTCAACCAGCATCGTCATGCCCTTGACGGTGATAACACTACAGATTGTAGCGAAACATTTGGCTGCTGCGTAGCGAATGACAGAAAGTCGGCACTGCAAACCCTTAGCGATAATTGGCATAAGTTCGATAACCCATTCGTGGAGACCCGGATCGAACTTGGGCAGCAGAGCCCGCAATGTAGACAGACCATCCACAATTTCTTGACCAAGTTCATTCTCTGGATTGGTGATGTCCTCGGGGAGATCATCCCCTGTCAAAGCGTCTCTCAATGGCCGTTCAACCAATTTCGCAAGATTGGGAACCTTCTCCAAAAGCTCAGGACCGAACTTGACTGCCAGCTGCTCCAGCGCATCCTTCGCACCACGACGCATAATCCGTGCCTCTCTTGCCTCTCTTTCGAATTTGGCGGCATCGGGATGGTCGCGTCGATCTTCTTCTTTGCGTAGCGACAAGATTGATTTCTCCAATTGCACATTGTGCAGGAATTCGGGTGTCTCGGAAGTGTCCACACAGCAGTATTTGACCAAGTTTCCAATGATTTTGTCCACTGGCCCACGCTTCGTGGCAGCTGTATAGTGTTCTATAAGGCCTGCCACTGCTGTCGCAGAGCGCTGCTGAAGTTCCACATTCTCCTCTTTCTTGACACTGTCCATCATGCCCTTGATGATGTGACCAGGCTTCTTGGGGATATCCCGCAATGCGACCAGGGCACCAGCGGTGGCAGCTAGAACACGCATGTCCCGCTGTTCCCTCATCAGTCGTGCCTCCTCCACGGCGGATTGTGCAGTGGTACGGGTGTCGTTCAAGACTTGGGTAGCGGTGATTCGTTGGGCTGGTGTGAGGTTTTTCTTCAGTCGATCAAAGTCAGGACCAACAATTTTCTCCGCATCAGCCAAGGAAAATGCATTGGGCCCAGCTTCTGAGTCGCCCTGGACGACCACGGCCAAAGTTGGCAGCCGAGAAGGTGCTACATGCGCATGATCCCGGAAAGTATTTAACAATGAATGGCACTGGGAGCGCGCGACATGAAGGTAGCAGGCAATGTCCGCATACCAGGATGGGCGCTCGTCTTCGAGAATTGGTCGAAGCCGGTCACATAAAGACACGCGGTATTTGCTCTCTGGTCCGGATTGGCGAGCATACTCTTCTATGACCATGGCCGAAGCAAGCTGCGTTGTGGAAGCAGAAACACTAAGACCATCCAGAATTGCAGGCCAAAGGCTTGGAAGTTCATTCTTGTCCCAGAAGGATACCAATTCACCCAACGCCTTCGCGGCGTAAATCTTGGATCTCAGCATGATATCTGCACCAACGAGGTCGATATCACCAGAAAGCATGTGTCCGTCCACGTTGTGAGCCGAGGGCGGAGGTGGCTCTTTCTCTTTCTTCTCTGATTTACGTCTCCGTCCCACCTTGGTCTCAGCCACGCCTGAAATAGAAGCAGGAGGTGAGCCTTTGGAAGTGGTAGGGGCCGGGGCAGCGATAGAGAATGGCAGACCAGACGGTTTAATAAAGAGCGAGGCGTTCATGGGAATGGGGTATCTGGGAACACCGAAAGCGCCCAGGGTCAGAGCGATAAGAGGCTGGATGGAGTCTGACAACTCCTCTGCGGATTTGAATGAACCACGCAGCTCAACAACGTTGAGGAGTTCAGACCATACTTGGCCAGACAGTTTCAAAACAGCCTCGTTGCGCTCCACGAGGAGATTTTGGAATATCAACCGCAATGCCTTGCCATCTACCCAATCCGTGGTGCCCTCGCCTTCCAACTTCAAGAACGTCATGAGAGCTCGAAGAACAGCCGAGCGAACGCTGGTGATG